TCGGACACCGTTGTTGAACTACGCTTATCGCTTTTCATTAAAGTTAAAAAAAAATCATGTTTGGATGACTTAAAAAACCTAACTGAAGCTAATACTATATTCATGGAACAAATTTTCTACAAAGTGTTTCAAATTGAAACATTCATAAATCGATTACTGGAATAAACTTTATCACAAACCCACGCGAACTCTTCCATATCTATAAGACTACCATAGAAGCATAAAGATATATAATACCATATGAGGTATTGCATAACATTTATATTCAACGTTTTAGACTTTAATCTATATTTGAATTCGTGGGCATGAATAGAATTATTTTTTATTTTGCTAAAATTTAAGATAGATCATTTTAAGCCATTGCGATTGCTAGAAATTTTTTATTGCAAGTGACCGAATACCATTTACTGTAAAAAATACTGGGGCGTCTCTTCCTTCAACTATTACATGCTTAAGTAATGCAGTTTGTCTCGATTGCTTTTAGTTAGATATTTTTAAAAAATTTGAAAAAAGGAATGGCGGCTGTTGTCGTCATTATAAGTCGTCATGAGATTTTTAGGTAAAGAACGGAAAATAAGGGAGTTCGGATACTATACACAAACATGACGTCTTCTGATGACGTAATTTAATTTCGAGTTGATCGACAAATTTCAATTATAAACGTAATGTCTAACTTATGACATCCACTGTTAGATAAAGATAGGTAGTCCACACAAAAATGACGTCACTTGATGACATCATTTGATTGGCATTGACTTGGTGTGATTGAATCAATTTGTAACGATGGCCACACAACACGGACTGGCAAACAGAAAAATGTGCCGCTAATTAAATCATATCTCAGCATGACATCACACAATCTGGTGCATCAATCGAGTCCATATTCGTCCATTGTTAGTTACCGTATCACAATAATATGACTCTTACCAGATATTGTTACTGATAGCGTATACGCTCTCTCTCACACGGCGACACGCGGCGCTAGTTACGCACTGTTTATTCCCCGAGAAATGAATAAATAAAACGGATGACCATTTGATGAAAATATGGTCAAGTTGTTTATCTTCAACACTATGCATCAGTCTCGTTATGGTGGACTTCTCATTTAATCATATGTTGAATCATCGTTATATGAGGAAAGTACATTTATCAGTCCGTTCCTTTTCGGCCGATATGAAAATAATCTATGCTGGCGTTTTGCGTAGTTGTATAAAAGTTTTTGTTCAGGTGCAGTTCGGCGTATTCTCATGCGTTTTCGTAGTAATTGGAATTCCCTAAAGTCTTTGATATGGTAATGTATTCCACCCAGCTGCTACCAGCCGGCTTTTTCACTTGTTTGACCTGACTTGACCCAGGCGCGTTTGTTACGGGAGACAACAACAGGCTTAAAATGCTAAATCTATTAAAAGTTTTCCCTGGAATGTCAAAGATATGGTTATCAGATTTAGTAGTTCTAGTATTCTCAACAATAGGCTGGTTTTCTAGTGAACAGTACTTTTGCGCGAGAACCATATATGCGAACAGATTATTTTGAAGCATAAGGCTTGTAGATTGAAATGAATCTGATGATATCGCTTGGAAAGGATAAACCATTGAAAGACAATTTCAAGGAAAAATTAGTCTGCTGAGATTGAGGTGTTTTTGCAAAAGACAACAAACATTTTCAGCATTAAATTCATCGCAAGGTTAAGGATTACTGTTCACTTATATATGCAAAAAAGACATGCTTATAGTAAACAACAGTTATAAGTATGAAGTTAAGCAGCAACCATCAACACAGACTCGTCTGTAATGGTAGAAAACACACTGAATGAAAGTCACCGGAGAGAAAGGTTAAAGCATATAATAAGAATGCATTTAATGTGATTATCATTCCATAGTAAGTAACTCAAACCAATGGTTTGGCAAGCTCAACTACTCTTAATTGACTGGTTTCTGATATAATGCGAGACAACCTAAATGAGGCAGCACAAAAGAAGTCTAAAGCAGTAATGTGTTAAATTTTTTACCTAAATATAAATTCATTACGAGCAAGCAAAATTATCAAGAATCAAAAATACTGGTAATAAAAAGGGAAATAATTTGGCCAAATCTGGTTTAATTAATTGTAAATCTTACACAATGGAATACCAAGAAAACTTTTCATGAATTATGTTTTAATGCCTCTTCTCTGATAAACTCTTTTTTTAATCTAAGTTTTAGTATCTGATTTTTTTAAACTTGAGTAATAAAATTTAAACTATTTACACCTGAAATCGAGACATGTATTGTTAACCCTTTATGCTTATCCCCTACCAGGTAGTTTTCAGCGCTTGCACTCATATAAAAATGCGAGTGCAGTACTGATGCAAAGTTGAAATAAATATAAAAAATAAAATTTCTCCATTTTAGGCCTCGACTAGTGACTTACCAAGTACAAAAATAGACATACTTCCGTTTTGAGGTTTTTCACCTGTATAAACCAATTAGCGACAATACAACTCGTTTTCTAAATATAAACAAACAACTCCCGAAAGTCGTTTTTTTATAATTTCATATTTATATACTTATGGCGATATTTCTGGAAATAATTCAACATGACATACAAACGTACACAAATTGTCCTGCGCTTTCCCGCAACGTAATTCGTATTTCATACCTACATATCAGCATGCACTACATAGCCTACCTACATTATTTCGTAAAACATTTTGCAACACAAATCACAAAATTTCAACGAAGATATGAAACCCAAACCATTCTTAAAAACGTTTGCAATTGTCACTTTCTATTTTCCCAGCAAAAATCGTTTTAGTCCAAACTTTCAGCGCACAAGCAAAATATCCGGTTGACAAGAATCCAGGCTTTTTTGTACAATATCTAGCAAAAAAGGAAAACAGGCGCAAAAATACTGAAAAAGCGGATCCTAATATCATTTGTTACGATCTGCGCATCTGCAATGCGCAAGGCGCTGAAAACTACTTAAGATCTTTCTTAAAATTGTCCTAACTAGTTTAATATTGAACGGGGGCGTTCTGGAAGGCGCAATTTTGTTCGAATTGACATAGTATAACCCAATTTCCTCAGTCTTGGGCACACATTGGCGCGCGAGATTTGGGTAATTGAATTTGTCGTCCCTAAACAACTTAGACATCGCAAAAATGGGAAAATGTGCAAAACAAGATAAAAGCAATCGCAGTAAATGCTGATTACTACCACTATTTTGATGACAAATAATTCCCAAGTACCTTTAATTATTCTGTTTTAATGAACGTAAAAAAAAATTTCTTATCGCTAAGAATAGGGATGGATAATATATAACATCAATTGTTTAATAATCTTCGCAAAAGGATAATACGGTTTGATTTGTAGGGAAACAGCATATAGACGAAATACCTAACATAACTTCATCTAACAAACAAAACAAAAAACTCAGTCACGTTTTGCTACCATCGCCGCTCAAAATATCTTTTTGAAATTTTCCTAATGTTTCAACATTTTTTATTTCTAATACTCGTATGATATTAAAAGCATCAGTTAACAGATACATGGGTAGCGTTTGGTGTATAAAAATATAAATAATGTTATGATACCATGTGTTTTGTACCTTATATTTAATATGAAACAAGAAGTATATTATGTTTTCAAATACATCTTGTTTAATTTAAATTCCAGATCGATTGAGCTGTTTTAAATAGTTTCTTCCTGTGTTCCTTTCCCAATTTGCCGAGAAAAAATGACAACGCGTCGCAGAAAAAAACAAAAAAAATCTCCCCAAAAGACGTTATGAGATTACGACGAGATAAATCAGTTGCGCTCGCGTTTAACTAGATAACGTCTACTGAATACAAGTCCGTGGGCTCATAATGAAGTTTGTATGGAAGAAATTTTGTGCACGCCAAAGTCTAGTGGCAGAAAACATATATATTATTATCGAGTGGCGAAAAGTGACAATAAAATTAGCGATTTTCTTTATTTAATGTAATATAAGAAAAGCGAAGAGAAAGCGAGGCAGTATGGAATCTAATTTTTGTTTTGATTTGATAAAGGGAAGCGGTATTGGCGAAAATTTTTATTACATTAGTTCGAAGATAAATAACTTAATATTGGAAACTTTTTAATTGCATTATTTGGGACATTTGTCTTCTCAGATTTGACTTCACTGAACTCAGTGCAACATTGTTTGCTCAATCGAATCTCTTTCCAATAATTTGATGACAAATTGAAAACGAATGTCATTGTCAATTTATTGAATGTTTATCAAGACTATGTGGAGCCTCTTTTGTTTTCTGTGGTTTATACAGTTTCAAGAAGATTGAAAATTTTGTTGCAAATACATAAAAAAGAAAGTTCATGTCATTTTTTATCGGGAAGTGCCAATGTTCCCTCAGAGCGACAATGTACCATCTTTTTTGACATCCATTATTTTAAATAAAATACGAAATTTACGAATACCATAAAAAATTATTCAGCGTCGTTAAATTTCGTTCATTCATATGTAAAAAAGAATGCTATTTGTAATTTTTTTCCAGTCACAAAAAAACTGAAATCGCATCGCATCTAAATTATGTTTTGGGATTTTCCTATCTTTCATGGCACCATTAACTCTAACTCATATTTTCCGAAATTTAAGTCAAAATGAAAAAAAACGACTAACATGGTATGGTTCCTATCTTCACTATAGTATATTATGATTATAACTTATCTGGTTCCAGAAAAACTATTGGGAAAAAGTTTCTATTTTTATATATAAAAGGATTACAACATAATAATTTAAATAATGTTTCTAAAAATTAAAACCTCTTGCCAAATAGTAGAATATTTTGCAGAATGCGATATAATAGAAGTAAAGTGCGCGACCGATAAGTAGAAAAAACGATGTAATTCGGAGTAACATCATTTTAATCGAAGAAGAAAATTATTAAAAAAAAAACATCGAGACAACAAGTAAAATTGTCTGCACGAAGTATCGAATATATTTTATATTATAATATCATTCATTTCCCTCTATTTTCATACAGAAAACGTCTAAAATATTTAAACTAATTTTGTCGAATCCGGCTAATTTACTGCATCGACAAAAAAACAAAATGGAGTATCCATACCTGGGACCGAGCGCTTCATACGACAGCACCGCATGCATGGTAGCGGCAAATGCAGACAACCAGGGGTTTGGCGTTCCTTCGCCCTACCCTGAATTCAACTCCTGTGCCCACGCCCAGGTCAGTATAACAGTCAAAATATATCAAGACCTCAATCACTGCACGAAAATCAACTCACATATGAATCCAAATACATCGAAAATTTCTAAATATTTCATTAATTATATACACAAGCTTTTGACAAGAATGGGATAATAAAATGCTAGATGCTGATGTATTTCCCATTTTTGTTCATCAAATTTACGAAACACATTTGAATTGCATAATGAAAAATATGATTAATATTTATTTAAATTGTATAATTTTGTTTAGTAAAACGTACCAATTTGATCAATGAATCCGCATAAATTCCCCTTGGTTACATAAAAACAAACAAGAATTTCACTGCGAACAAAAGATGCCCATTGCTGGGAATATTATTTAGACACACCTGGTCGCAATTTCGCTTTCTGGCATTTTAATAGAATATTTCCTTAGAATTTATATAGAACCCAAATTTTACATGTTACGACATTCCCATTCGAAGGATAATAAATACAATTAGGTTTTTCCAAAGGATACTGATTATGGTTCTTCAGGGTTCATTGGAAAAATTTACCTCAATAAAACAAATAAAACTTCGATCCATGTATGTGAAATGTTTTTTAAATTTCAAGAAAATTGAAGGAATATATGTTTATAAGAAGATTTATATCGGAATTCTATGGCTCCCTGATCCATGTTTGCTTTGACGCTGAAACATTCAAACAAAATGAAACAAAATTAAGATAACACCAATATGATATTTCAAAGACCATTCGTATTCTTTTTAGCGAAAATGGTTTGCATGTACACGAAGGTCATGCTGAAATGAGTCTTAATTTTATTTTTCATGAATATAGTTTTATTATAACTTTAACACAGGTGTCTCAGTCAGCATTCCCGGCATCGGCGTATGCGACAAGCATGCAGATGAGATCGGCAAACTTTGGAGCAGCCTGCCACACTTCGGTGCCTCACGTCGCCACCGCTGCCGCTTGCAGTCTTGGCGGCCTTAGAGATACTTCACCATATTCATCTGGTACGAAGATTGTAATGTCTACTATACAGTACTCATAATTTTCCTAACGGCAAATATGCATTGCTATTATTGTTTAAAGATATGAGCATACTTGTACAAAAACATAACTACAAATTATTTACACGTCATGGTTTAAACATAATATTTAAAATTCAAATATGAAAGATTTTTTGAATAACAATATGCGAACAAAAACGGAAAAATTTTTGCATCAAAATTATTTGTTTTATCCTCAGTTAATTAGATAGAATTCACACATGGACGAACACACCTTACTCTAAATAACACAAAATAGGATTTTCAAGTAGCTGAAAACAAGTTGCAGACGTAAATAGCCCGTTTGTGCAAAACATTTTGCGCGATGTGCCAGTTTCACATGTGGCTTAGATGTGAATAAAAAGCAATTAGATATGTTTTGGGTTTGAGTCTTTAGTGACATTGATGAAAAAAGCGGGCAATATTAGTAAAATGTACTTCACTCGCACAGTTTTTACACAAAACACAAGCCAATGGGGTTCGGAAAAAAAAATCAGTTCTCCATATTATGAGCTATTTTCATTGGATTGGTTGCTTATACACAAGTCTCTGTGTTTATAAATTGTATTGTAATTGAATATTTTACACGTAAAATTCCTTAAATGAGAGGAATTAATAACGTATGACAATGACTGAAGCGTTTCTACAATAACCAAATCCTAGAACAGAACGCCTAACACAAGTATTGTAAAACACAGTATAACCGAATTGCTGAGTATTGTTAGTATTTTTTTTTATTTGAGTTTTTGTCTTAAATTGAGCATATTGCTATTTTCTCATTATACTTTCTCTTTTTTTCGAGACAACTTTGATTGAGTATTAGCCGATATAAATTGAATCCTACAGACATCGACGGTTCGGAAATCCTGCTTCAAGTGGTGGGATTTGTGCATAGTCGGCATCCAGACGCGTTTTGTTTGTAAACACTCGCGAATTTCGCGTTCGACGCACGTGGAAGCTTTCCATCGAGCATGATGGATAGGAAGCTCCCAGACTCTATTAATCGGAAAGAGATTACATAGATTGCATTTTAAAGAAATTGGAAGCGGCTTGGTCCGCCGAAACTGTTTGAAAATTGGGGTCAGCAAGGTCAAAACGCAAAAAATATTTAAGCGCGAAATAGGGATCACGAAACAGATGGCGTCGGGGAATTAAGCTCAATTATGCATTTCTATTGAAACCGAATCCATACTTCATTTCGATTTTTGAGTCATATACGATAATATTCATAAGAGCTTTCGGATAAGTTCCACTAATATTTCCACAAAATCAAATCATAACAACACGTGTCTCGAGAACATGAAAACTTATAAGACAACGTTTGAAATACTGTATTTAATTAAATATTAGTAAAATCCTATAAAAACTTAAGCAAAAGTGCCTGAAGAGCGTTTTTATATTTATAGGATCATTCCTAGTTTAGTTGCAAAATTACTTATATTAATATATTGTTCAAATATCTTGATAGTCTTCGTGGACAATAAGCCACGCTGGCAAATAGGTCACGCCTTAATAGGAAGATTTCCTTTTGCAAACACAAAAACTTACAAAATGCTGGGTAATTTATGGTAAAATTAGTTCAGCCCAAGAACAGTTTACCTGCAAATTCTACCAAAGATCCTCAGCTATGAACCTATCAATGTCGACAAATTATCGGGAACAAACATGCTTTTTTTATTTTATATGATCCGAATTCAATTCTGTGCTTTTTATTTAGTTCCATACAAATTCTTCTCTGAAACTTCACACCATACAAGTTTTGGAGGATTACACGAACGTAGAAAACAAAGAAGAATTAGGACAACATTCACAAGTTCACAATTGAAGGTAAAGTATTTGATCTACAGGATAACTTTACCGGGAGTCTACAGACACGCCTATAAGAAGGAGCGTAGGAGACAAGTAGAAAGTGTGGCTTATGAATTGACTACGTGATAAATAGGCACATTATCTCACATTGAGCTATCGACAAGAACTGGAGCCTTACTGGAAATAGCCAGCAGGGATTAAAGCAAGGCCGTATCAGTTATCGCTTTTAAATCACACAATATGTGTATAACTGATGAACAAAATTTATATTTGAAAGTGGTATACATAAACCATATTTCCAAAAATACCAATAGAAATATTTCTTTGTTATTAATTGAAATGGTGTTCATCAAAGTCAAACGCTAGATTTCGCTCCAAAAATGCTCTTCACAAGAAGATACTCAGGCGCAGGGGATAGCGTATTTATTTTGATTCAAATTACAACTCATTTTTCTTGAACTAAATCGAAATTTTAATTGGCGTAGATACGGGTTTAACCTAACAAAATCTCAAACTCTTTTAATACTTCTACTTAAATTTCTCAGGAACTCGAAAGAGTATTTTCTGAAACACATTATCCAGATATCTATACAAGAGAGGAATTGGCTTTAAAAATTGATCTAACCGAGGCAAGAGTACAAGTAAGTACTGAATAAATCAGCTCAACTGACTGTTAAGGTATTTGTTTTGAGCGACGAGGTTGAAAATAAGGCAACTTATTCATCGCAAATCAAAATTTAATTACGATACTCTCATATATTTTCAGGTTGTGTGTAGTTTTTACAGAATTAAATTTGGTTGCATACCGTGTGATGCTCAATATATTTACTGTGCAAGCTTGTCTCCCTCAACACATATCAGTTTGCCATTTGCCACAACAAAATTGTAAAAGTCGTATAGAAGCACAGTTCATAATGACGTACTGTATTTGGTGTATAACTTTACAATGTTTAGATATAGCTCACACAGTTTCATCTTAAAATGCAAACAATTTTTAGGTCTGGTTTCAAAATCGACGAGCGAAATGGCGAAAAATGGAACGTGCGAAGCAGCAACAGCTACAACCTCACATTCCTCAAGGGAGTCCCACCTCGTCAAGTCCTGGTGACGTAACAAGTATAAACTCAGAAACTTCGTCCTGTCACGAATTGACTGGTAGAAGTGGTACAATGGCGTCATCGGGCGAAGGAGAACCCAAGGCGCCAGAAGCTGGAGCCAACGAACCCGCGGTCGCACAGGCGTCGAAAGATGATCAACAAAACGAACTTAGCACTGCCCTTGCACAAACATCGTTGCAGATGTCAAACCGCGAGCAATCGTCTCTTATAAAAGTTGGCCTGTCTCCAAACTCAACAAGTATGAGCTTCTTGTATCTAACGATAAGAAATTATTTCACATATCTCCCACAGTAGGCTACACCTATTTACGGGTATTCAACGCCAATATTTTAATTTTACGTGGGGATTACAGAACTTCATGTGAACTTCTAGTGAAAAATGTTGAAGTTTACTCAAATAGGGTAATAATGATCATATTGATAACTTGACCACATAATAACAAGGAGTATGACATTTACGTGCATACAAAAAAGAGCATTTTTTCTCAGTTTTCAAATATCACCCTATAGAGGAAGATGGGTAGACCGAAATAATCTATTTTACGCCGTACGCCTAAATACAAGATAGTTAGAATAGAATTCTTAATACTAATTTTGTTTCAAATTGTAGTACCCTGTAGTAGATAGTCAACACCTTGTTGTTGTCTCTTTCTTATTTTGAACGAAACGTATAACTAACTGTTTATTAGGGCCATTAGGCTCAACCTTGACGGTATATTGAGCATCGCATCCTAAGTAAGATTATTAGCTTAAACTTTAACAAATATATACCCACTTCTTGTAGGTAAAAAGAATAGCAGCAATAGTGAACGCAGTCTAAACTCCAGAAATTCGGGAACTACGTCAACTCTGGCGATGGAAAATCTTTCATCGGCTCATCCAGCAAGCAATGACGGCAGTGACATTGGTGGGTCGCTCTCTCCCGCCACCCCGTGTATGCAAAATTCGCACTACAATTCGTCTTATGATCCCAAACAACACGTTGGACTAAATCAATCTCGTTCCCAGCAGCGTTCTTATAATGGTCATGGAGATACTGTTCAAGGTTAGATTGTTGAATAGTCGCATGGTTTGACGTTATTTGCTAATTACCGTCTACTAAAGACAAATCCACTAATATTATACTTATAATTTCGATTTCGAATAATGTAAAATCAATACCATGCGATCAAACTAGCATTTATTAAACTATCTACATATTCCAGGTTCAAGCCAAGCATATGGGTCTCCCTCGTCTGTTTCATGGTTGTTAGCTAGCGGCGCTGGGAATCCACCAAATCCACTCCACGGCGCACCATTTGTGGACGTCTTGTCGGCTTTGACCCGGAATGTAGGATCAGCTGCTGCCTTGATGACTTCATCTCATATGTCGTCCCCACACTCTGCGTCAATGTCTACGTCACCATTATCAGGAGGCGTTTATCACAACTATACGAATCTTCAATGTGGCCCAAGATATCAGGATTGCTCAAAGCCGGTGGGCGAAGGAGCCATACTTCACGGTGTAACTGTAAGAAATAATTCGAGCAATGACTGCAGAACGAGACGTGGTTCACCGGTGGATGGACGGGCGGAAAATATCATAGCGTCACTTTGAATTCACACTCCGTCAAAGCGTGTGTATTTCTTTGTTCAAGAAATAGGAGAAAAATAGTGTTTTTCAAGATGTTCCTATTTCAATATCTACCTCAAACTAGGTATGGCTTACAAGAAGAAGGTTGAAGATTCCATGCAATTAAGATTGCTTCTAAAGAGTTATTAAAGTTGAGAGCTATGAGAGTTCAATCTTGATTGTAATCAGAGCTTGCAAGGGACAGCAATGTAGATGGAACCTATGGGGGCCAAACCATGAACAGTACAGCAATGTTAAACACCACTGTACGTGTTTGGTAAATTTTTCTTGAAGATTTTATAGAACCTTATACATATTGAATTGCTGGTAATCATTGAGATTATCAAAAATCATAATGCGTCGTCAACGTTTTTGTATTATTGTGATCGTTTTGATGTTTAGATTATTACCAATTTTACAAAAGATTCAGCTGTGCTTGTGTTGGTTTTTTAAACTTCTGATTGCGATCAGATTTAGTATGTAAGTCATAAAGGGTGAAGGGAAGATAGGCAGGATAACGCGTTATCACAAAAAATATACATACTTTTAAATAACAACCACAGATGGAAAACATGAGTTGACACCCAATACCGTAGCCTATTTCATTATAAAGTATTCATCGGGTGAAATTGACTTACTGTAGTGGATTAAAGCAATAAATTAAGGCAGGCTATCTTAGAAGTAAACATATATACTTCAAAAAAATAAATGTTGTTTGGATTTAAATAAAACTTTCCTCGCTACCAAACTAGCACTTGATTATAAAATGATTTGACGAACGTTTTTACATTCAAATTCCAATGCAAAAACGTAATCACTACATTATTCAGTGATAGCAGAAATTTTGTTTCTATTATATTTCATATCTGTCAGTGAGACCTCAGTAAGAAACCCAAGAAACGGGATTACACAAAATAAATGAGATACAACATGATTCCCGATTTCGCTTTATATTTGTGGATTTTATAGTTTGCTGCCCTTTTACGATAATTCAGGTTCAGTTATTTATTTTCGTCATGCAAGAAACATTGTACAATTAAACAACAAAAAAAATTAAACAAACAATCATACAATATCTCAACTGCAGTTGACGGGGAGTCGCGAAAGATTAGCAAGTCACCAAATTAGCGACACCGTTTTTGCTGAGTTTCGCGGCAGATGACGTTAAACAACGTATGGTAAGGAAGTATATTTTTGTATGAAGGAATACACAAATTAGGAACTAAAACGTAACAAAATTCGAGAGATTCAACGAAAAAAATATTGATTAAATATGTGAATTTGGTGCTCCAGCGTCATGCCTCGACGAGTGCAGTCAACAACAAAGAAATTGCTGACTAACATGAATTTGAAAACACAAGATACTAAAAGGGGATTTCCCAGCGGCGCTACAAATATATCAATCGGATTATGTGCAGAAAATTAACTATACCAAGAATTTGATGAAACAAATCGTACTGTGGTTATTTTGTGATGCTCGGGGGAAAAGGAATAGTCTACTCGCTTTGAAATTTTCAGTGGTTAAAGCTTTTTTGTATTACTTTTGTTTATTATCTTTATATTTTACAATAGCCTTTATTATGCTTATTTTTCTAGTGTTTTTGCGGGTTTGTGGTTTACACGTTTCAGAACCAGCATTTGATTGCAAACTAACCTTTTATTTAAAACTAAGAATAAATACGGTAAACCTAACCTATCGCAGCTTTTTCGGGACTAAATTTCGATTACTGCAACAGAAGACGAACTCTTCGCTTGCCAAACCACGAAAATAAGCTACCTAGCTACTGTTTACGAGCGCATCTGGAAATCGTGGAGCGTTTATATTCATTGATCATTTACAATTTACATCTTGCTGATAAGCCAATGTTACGGAAATTGACAAGGAAGTCAATGCATCGTTTTATCGTCGTTTATAGCATTGTGACGTCAAAATGAGCAAACGTCGTAAGGGTAAACGGGCTCAGGCGGTCGAACGGTAGCGTAAAGCGTTCCGTAGAACTGTTGTAGGGATGGGTGAGACGCTTCACTCTTGAACTCCGTTGGTTTCCATGTTCAGTGTGTCAGGAAAATGTCCTGCCTTTTGCCGCGTTTGCAGATACCACCAAATAGTAGCAGCTTTCGACAGTATTACGAGAAGTATAGATCGAAATGTAGCATGAAATACCCTTTCCTCAGTCCGAGTCAAATCAGAACAAAGTTACTGGATAGATGGCGTAAAACTTCATCTTACAACAAAAGGTTTGTATTTCATAGTATTACGGCATTGAATTAGGGACATTTACGCAGTATAAGACTCCGTATTTCTACACTCCAACTGGTTCTTATCCAGATAGACCGTTGGTCGAAGCTAACAGAGTTAACGTTAGTTATTCTAACCATGGTAATTTATGGTAAGTTTAGTCTATCTGATTGTAGTCTATGATGTAGGATTTTGAGTTTAACAATATGATAATAAACTACAGTATTATGAACCTGGACGCCTGCTTCTCAAAAACTAAATACCTGATCAAAAATGCCCTAAGACAGTAAGATGGCAAACTGCTCTTTTCCTGATAGTATGCACACATTTCATTTTCAATGTTTCTCAAATTATAATACGTATTTTGACACAGCGTATTTCGAACAAGAAATTATTTGATTTTTGCCTATGTATGTTTAAATGGCCACCTTTGGCAGTAAAAATATCATCATATCTATGCTGGACTGGAGTTACCCATCATTAATGACAAGACTATCAACGCGATTTCTGATTCTGTTATTCATTCTAAATTGTTCACATAACCTAACGTAAATTCAATCGTAGAACTAACTCTATTTCCTGTGCAAGTTACATGTTAACTTGTCATTATAAAGAGTTTTTGGTAATATCCCGAAACTGTCCAACCACGCAGCAACTAAATATCTAGACATCATATAAAGTATTTGTTGTGTTAATAATGTCTTGGTTATGTATTAAATTTTACACCCAACCTATTATAGAATAAGGGTTCAACTGAATATGCTCGCACTTCTTTATCACACCAGCATAACACACAACATGGATGTTCACAGCTACAGAGCAAAACAGCGAGTGACGCAACTGCGGCATGTTAACACTGTGAACAAAACAGCACAGTCAATTATTAGAGACGTTACTCTACTTATTAGGGATTATTAGCAATCATCAACATGGTGATACTGAAAACAATTTCTTTTATGCGGCTACTGATATATTGTGAATAATCATTTGGTCTGCGTGTCGTATATTTGAGCAATGTTCTTTTATTTCAAAAATACATTTTACGCGTAGTGGATCGAAATATTCCTATGATACAAACCCATAGTTATATATTGAGACTTGAACATAATACTAGATGTCGTTATGTTATGTGTCAATGTGAAGTTTGTGTGTTTCTATACAGGTGCGAAGAAAACAGAAACGAAGAAAGCGATGAATCAATCAAGCAGTTTGAATTGAAACAGGTAAATTCCGAATTCACATATCATACCTTTACATGTTTCCTAAGCTAGTAACTGAACAAGTAATAATTTGAGTTTTGGCTCTGTCCGTCTGTGCGCTGTTGGTACAATTTTGTTGAGAAGCAAGATATCTTATTTTTAGAGTTATGGAGCTGCATCGGAAGATGTTATACTGAATGTAAAAAAGAAGAATGTTATCGCAACGGCAGATTTAATAGAACTATGTACAGGGGGTAGGTGTCGGGGATATCGTTGTTCGAAAAAATACAATACATTTTTCATAATTTGCTCAAAGCCTGAAAAAAGCCTGATGACTGAAAACCAAGAATATTATTAATCTAGTAATCAATTTATTTATATTAATCTAATATATCAAACTAAAACTCAATCATCTGAAGCCACTGGCCATGGTACTTTTAACAAAGCACAGTCTTATATTGGCTTAAAAGCATGCTTGTTTATAATTCCAAGCATAAAGAATCTGTAACGTGTTGTTGAATTCACATTGCGTATTCATCTTTTCTACAACTAATTATGTTCTGTTTTATTACTTATTGTCAGAACAAATAAAAACAGGCAACTTGGAACAAGTCACTGACGATATAGAATGGAGCTCCACTAAGAAATCCACTTCGAATCCAAAATGGTAGGTGGCTCTGAATGTTTTATATTTAATATTGACCTGTGAGTTGACCAACGATAAACGAAGAGACAAAATTGAAGGATTTGGGCAATGAACAACTTCAATTAAAACATGTTGATTTTTCATATTTTCAACATTGAGCTGATGGCTAATACTTTTTTAAACTGTTGATGACATGCGATAAAACATCCTAAATGTCGTCTATCTAACAATATTGTTTTTAGTAACATTGTCTTTTTTACCCGAACAACAAACATATTCTGCGAAGTGCAATTTTTTAAATACACAAATTTTGTTTTTCGTAACGATATATTGGCTCAGGCTTACTGGCGACATGACAAAAACAAAAGTAATGACTCCTCCAAGTTCAGGCAAGCAAAAACGACATAAAAGACGTAAAAAATGTACTTCCGATAGCGGCATAAGCTCATTGGAAAGGTAAGGAAAATTGTCGTTTCATTTTTCGGACAGTTATTGTAACACTCATGTAGTCTCTTACGCCTTTTCACTTTGCTCCGAAGAAAGGTTTTTAGTCGAGTACAGAGCATTTAGAAGTCATTTTGTAAACTAGGCCTTAGTAAGAATACCACAGAGCGGTGGTAAAGTCATTTATGTTATATTCTAGGGAGACAAAGATATCTCCCAATCAACAAAGCACACCTCGAAATCGCAACTCGCCCAAAATATCTGAGGCTCTAGTCGAGAAAGAATTATGCTCTGAAACAATTGAACCTTCATCCAACGAAGTGGAGGAACAAGTTTCGTTCACTTACGACAAATCGACACGTGAATTTTGTTATCTATTCCCTTCGGATGTTGAAAACTATAGTAAGCTATCTTACATTTGAAACATATGTAGTGTCCCTAATGAATACAGTACTCCCGCGGTATGTGTACCAGGTTATGGGTTAGGTCATAATTTTATTCTGATTTTCCCTATTTTATTTCTATTACGAATCGGGGACTAGCTGTGTTAGCCAAGTGGATATACCCCCTGCCCATAGGTTTCAGTTCCTTCACACAACTTGATGTAAAGTGGGCGACCAAAATTATTTACCTCCATATTGGTACACACACTTCTGTAGCACCATTAATACTGCGTGTCGGTTCCATTACATTTGAACCCACGTACATTTGAACCCATGACAATTGCACCTGCATACTATTGCACCTATGGAAATTTTGTTGTTGTACGGATAGTTGAACCCATACTAACCCTAACCCATGGGTTTCAGCACCCGCATATTGATTGACCCCGCGGATATAGACATGGGTTCAAATGTACGTGGGTTCAAATGTACGTGGGTTCAAATGTACGGTCACGTGTATTGAAGAATATGAAATTTAGTCATAACAACTTTCAACGACTTTACGTCAGAAATGTATTGGTTACATGCATGCTGATAAGAAGCTTTTTCTGCAAGCTTGCTCAAAGTTAGGACCCGGGCCATCAACTTAAAGTAGAACGATTATAGTGATAGAAGAGTTGCAAGCGACCCCGGGTTATATATATAGGTGAAAACACGAGATATATACCCGTAACAAAATTTGTCATGTTGCGCATTCTATTATGTAGTGTCTACCCATCCATATTTTAACTGTAGTACTACATCCATCTAACCCAGCGGTTCCCAAACTATGGGTCGCGACCCACTGGTGGGTCGCAAAAGGAATCTTAGTGGGTCGTGAAAAGATGTAGAAAGCTTTGAATAATTATACTGGGTATTAGGATCGGTGGCGACTCGAATACGTAAATCTTCAAAAAACGAAATAATTTAAATTAAATTCTAATCTGTCAAAGTTTCCTCTATACGATCTTCTCAAAGGAACAAATATTTGCTACACAAAGCATGACCATGTGGCTTATTTACGCATAGCAGTTTTACAGCAGTTTAGACAGAATTTAGATTTATTTTCTTTTGAAGAATAACACTATGGTTTTTTTTTGGAAGAGATTTTTTGAGTTCATTTGTCAAAAATAAAATTACATTGTAGAAAACCACGAGATTCTTCAATAACCATTATATAAAAACCGACATCCATTGTTTTTATTTGTATTTCCTATACAAAAATCAAGTGACAAATATCATAATTGTGATTGTGAAACCACACAATCTTGAATAGTGGTGCGATCTTCACCTTACCGCAAGTCATTGAACCTTTTCCCTCCCACATATTTTAAATTCATTTTAAGGGTAGGGTTTAATTAAAATCATTTTTAAAATTCAAATTCAGTCTTATTTTCAGGCCAGAACTTATTTTCGAGGAAGCACGGTAGTTTTACGATGATTAGCCATTGCTGTGTTCAGTGCTATGTCATAAAAAATTTTAATGGGTCGCCATAAGCTGTGGTAATAAATAGTGGGTCGCAACTCCAAAAAGTTTGGGAACCACTGATCTAACCTATTGTATCGCGGTATAGATATGATGTCATAGGTCCTTAGTTTCATGACACAATAGGCGTTCCAATTATGATACCGTACATTTGCCACCATAGCATATATCGTTTGAAAAATTTGAGCTACGTTGAAAATATATAAATATAGAAAACGATACTTTTCAGATGAAATTGAATTTTCATTATTTTGATTCAGAACAAGAATCTTCATTAGAAGAAGTTTCAACGAACGATCCTAAATTCCGATCTTTTGATGAAATTTGTGCCGAGATTTCTGGCTGTGATATGGAAACAACAATAAAAGCGGTTGACACTCCCGCTTTGTCAAAAAGATTAGAACTATCTAGTAAACTTGGGAGTGTATTTTGTTATCAACCAAGCTTTGAGGATGTGTGTGCTATGCACGGCATTGATTCGTCGATTGAAATCGAGGATTTGACATGTGATTTATTAGAGGAAAGTACTGAAAGAAGAGTACTGAATTTACAGCTGAAGAAACATGAAACTGATCTAGTTTTTACAGCAGGTAATGGCGATATAGGTACGGCATCTAAAATTAAGTTCGAACCAGAATCTGACTTTCAAATAGCCAACTACGAAGTCGAACAAAAAGACAGTAAGGAGAATGATGCCCTACAGAATGTAGAAAAAACAGACAGTGACCAAAATATAGAAGATTGTAAGATAACATCCTCTTTTACGAAGCATGACAAACAATTAAATGATAATATAAACCCCTCACAGTTAAATGAGGACATTGTTGCTGACACAAGTCCAAAAATTGACGTCTCTCGTTGTCCTAGACACACTGATGCTACAACCATTTGCAATATTCCAAAATTTTCCGAATCTACGAATGACGAGGAATTGACCAACTCAATCGAAGAAAGCGAGATGAAGATCCCATGCAGTCAAACTTGCGAATCTCAAGGCAGTGAGACATCCAGTGTAGAAATTACAAGCGGACAACCATTTACTCAATCATCAAGTGACTGCTCTTCATTTTCAAACTCGCAAACTCCATTTAACAGTAGTTTCTCGACTATTTCTTCGCAGCTTAGTTTGTCTGTGGATGGTAGAAGAAAGAGACGCAAAAAATGTATCGAAGAAGTGGTGACCAAATTGAGATGCGAAAAAGAAAAGCTTATGATCAACTCATCAGATAATTTGATTCATAAAAATGTGGAATCAACATCTGATTCTGGCCCTTGCAAATCGGTGAAGAAGTCAAAAACTAAATTAGATGCTAATGAAGACCAATCAAATTCTCCACACACCAAGCAACCAGTTGTTCAACTTGAAAAGTTGCAGCTGGATCGTTCTGTCAATCAGCTTCTTCTCGGTGGAGTTCAATTTTGGATGATTAACAAAGGATCCTCATATCAGTTATTAGACTCAGGTATTTGTGACATGAATGCTTATATTCATTCAGGGAATTTGTATACGATAATTTCCAATTTTTTTGTCAGATAGTACCTGGACCGATGTCACAGACATTGATGAAAGTTCGCAGAATTCAAGTGTGCAGGTATAATTAAAATTAAATTATTTTTAAATTCTCAAACAATTTCATTGTATTCTTTGAAATGAGTTCCTAGGTTAAGTAGTAATTACTAGCCTTTCCACACGTGGACAAAAATTAACATTATGTTTTAAATTTAAAGTTCTGCAATTTTAATAAGCCTCTGTTGATTAGGAATGTAGTTTCCGCATAAATGGGTCTTAGAATAAGTCTATTTATATCTATACCAATAGTTAGTTATCTGTATCTGCATAGTGTCTATATAAATATAATAATCTGCAGGAGAGAATGCGATTGCAAAATACTGGAAAAATCAATGGAAGTCTAACTGATGTCGAAATATGTAAAAATAGCGAGTCATCATATCCTGCCATTGATGAAGTTTGTATAGAAAAAGCAGAGGCCTCGACTTCGAGCGACGAAACTGCACAAAGCTCTTTCATCTGCGAAACAGTTGCTACCGAAAAACGAGAGAGTGACGTCGAAATGCACCAATCAGAATCGCCACGGCGCGATCTCGCGAAGGAAAAAGGCGCAGACGGAAGCACAGATATGACGCTCTCTAATGTCGACGTCATCAAAAGATCACAAATAAAAAACGGAATGAAAAACTGTGTCATTGCGAATGTCGTAGTTCATAGAGATGCCGAAAAATTAGGTAATAAAGCAGAAAACGGTATTCTTGCTGTAAATGATTGTGAAGAATTGGATGAGGAAGCACATAGTCATTCAAATGGTTCTAACGAAGACCAACTTCTATGTGACTTATTCGATGATTGACTATAATATTTATAAGTTTTTAACAACTATCAATAATGTATTACCTGTATGAAATTTGTCGCTCACAACGTAATAATTGCCTGCACAGCACTATATGAAGCCAATAACTCCAAGCCAATAAATTTGCCAATTGTTTGAATGACATTGGTGTTTAAAGCACATGGAAATGATTACATAGTTTCTGCCGAATTAACGTTTGGTAGTATGAAAATTTTCAAATGAAAATCATTGTTTGTCAACAGAACTATTTTATGATATTCGTAATAACTTTATGCGAGATCTTTTTACTCCTATTTAAAATAGTGGAAGATAAAAAAAATTCAGAATTGTACAATTTGGACAGTTACTTAGTTGAATGAATTTGTCTGTTTCTTCCACAATTTTAAGTTTGCTATATGGTCTTTTTTATATATCATGAATATTTATTTGTTTTTGTTGGGTTAAATTAATTGTCTTTCACTGTTGCATGTTTTCTTGATTTTTCAAATTAATAAATTCACATCACTGTTATTTGCTACGAAATGGAGTGTTTTAAATCTGGAAGAAATTCAGCGATTTGCTATGAATTTAGCTCGGGTGTGTCAGCTACTTGAACTACTGCTAAAAACCGACAAAGCTATAAGTGAATTATATTATGTAAATACTGAAACAGCAGCCATCCAATGGCAAAAATTTTCGACTAGACAACTTGTTCAGGGAAACTTGCTTGATAAACTTTAAAGACCAAGTGATGATTGAATTCGTATATTCACCGCTCAGTCAAGAGATAAACTATGAATACCAGTGCTTCAACCTTTTTGAAATGAAATTTTCGCTGTAGTTTATACCGTCTTCATTATTGTAAAGTTGAAGAAAATACAACAGAAAATTTTGAGCTCCCACCGGGAACAAATTTTGAGCTTAAAGCTGGGAGTGATAACTAGTCAGTTCGTAAAAAAACTGTAAATTCCACACTTTTTTCCTATTCAATCCGTTGGTTTTGGAAGTAGAATTTCCCATTCTGGAATAAAGGTTCCATTTTTTTCAGCATCGAGTCGAGGTAGTTTTTTTTTGATTGTAGTCATATACCATACAACATAACTAACGGTATGTTGTATCTGTTATTCGGCTTCCTAGAAGAAAGCGTTTCCCACGTTGTCCTGTGATCCCCTACTTTTTCAGTGTTGTGGATATTTTTATGATTTGCCAAAAATTTGTGGGGCAGTTTAAATATATCCAGTCAATACTCTTGATACAAATGGCCTACTAAACAATATTTCTTTTCAAATCAGAACATAGAGAACACCTTGAATATTGCGGATGATAGCCGAAAATGTAATTGCTGCAGATGATCTACCACGGAAAAAGCAGAGATAAACCTTACATTTAATCGGATCCAATGAAAAAATCATTCGTTCATAAGAGCACTTCTTGTGTAACTCCGATTTATAATGTTGCCATTGATTTGTCGTCTAAAGTGCGCTAGGCCAGACAACTATTTGATTACAGATTTTGGAAGCCCGGGGTTCCTTGGTTGGGAACCAATGTCTGTATTGAACTACGCTAGATAGGAAAAGGTGTTCTCGCTACACAATTCCTTATGTATTCATTTTAAAACAACTGTATTTATAGCGCCATACTGCGGACGAAATTTATTTCGAAAAAAAGGGAAAAATGACAAAAGAAAATTCAATTCAACTATCAATCGGCGAAGAAAGAAACATATAACATTATAAATTATACAATTATCGCCTTTTGTATTTAAGAATATTCGCAATAATAATAATATTATTAGCATACTATTGCTTATTTGAGTGAATTAAATAACAATATTGACGCGAAAATATAATAACAATAATAATTAAAAATGACAATTAATCACTAAAAAGAAATGAAAGTGAAAACATAGCAGTTGCAAAAATAAACAAAATTGTTTGTATATATTGTAAACAAACAAGCGAGCAAATATTAATAATAAGAAAGCGTCATTGAAAAATAAACACTGCAAGCATGCAAAGAGCCGCAAGAAATGAAAAAGGAAAATGGAATAAAATAAAAGACAACGAATGTTATAAAATGAGAAATTGTGCTTATGTAACCATGTCGTTTCAACATTTCTAATATAAAAATATTAGATAAAAATATAAATTTTTAAACGTTAATTCAGTTATTGTGGTACTCCGCTGTGGGCGATTGTTTAGTTGATTGTGTATGATTATTCAAAAATTTTCCGAGCTTTTTCAACCTGATATATGCATGGAAAATTTTGTTCTGAAATTTAACGACAAAAAATTATGACGTCATAATTTGAATTGAAAAAGTATGATAGCCAATGCGTACTTTGATTTACAGTGAAACTATGATAAACAAATAGACCCGTTTTTGGTCAAAAGTGTATCAGTGATTTGGGCACAGACAGTAGATGAAAGTATTCCACTCAGAGACCCAAGAATCTACTTTTGACACAAAATCGGGAACCTGTGAGTAAAAAAATTGAAAAAAAAAAAACGAAATACAAGAAACAGGAACTTCAAAAATGATTTTATAAATTTACAAAATAAAATATAACCAATCAGCGTAAGCTTTTAAAATAAGTTAAGAGTCAAACAGGGGATCGTCAAACTATAACAATCTGAATGTTGATGCCAATTGGTAAACACTCAACATATTGCGGCAATGGGACATTTTAAAAGCATGGTTAATTTTGTCGCTTAAGTCGCAAGAAATTGCATTATATAAGATGATTGAATAAAATTTAGTTAGCAGATGTTAGATAATTCTGATCGATGCGGCAACGTTCAAAATATTTATCCGTGTGGAACGTAAGTGTAAATTGATGGTGGCAGAAGATGAATATATCTTTGCGTGGAATCAAAAATTTAATTACTAAGCTGTCTAGCAGATTAAAAAACGCAGCAGAACGACGAATATCAAACGATAACACGCCAAAGAGTGCAGCAATAAAAAAAATAGGTCTCTAAAGCGCCACCTCCAATATAGAATATTAGTACAATAGTACACATGCACAGTGCAAATCGATGCGCCGCCATACGCGATAATTCCAACATGAGGGTTTTTCAGTCATTTTTTTTCACTTTTGTGAGTTTTTTTCTGCATGAAGCAAGGTTCTAATGAATCGGCCACATACTGACCCAATATACAATTATATTAATAGATAATAATTCTATCATTACTGTTGCGAATCCTCTTATGAAGTGGATTTGAAATCGATTTTCATTGACTTCGGTCGCTGTAATCTTCACAAAAATCGGAAGTCGATACTTCCGGTACATCTGAAAGTTCTGGATGTCGTCCACGGACTGGCTTACTTCCATTAGAAGGGGCGAATACAGATTTGGCGGCAAGAAAAGCGATGCGACTCTCGTCCGATTGTTCATTCATTACGTCATCATCATTTGTTCGATAGACATTGTCTGTCAATACTGTTTGTCCGTCGTTGTCGGGCGTTTCATAATCAACGTACGCCATTGTGTCCCGCGGTGGTAGAGATAAATTTGAATCTGGAACACACAATACAGTTTTTTTATTAAATTAGTATTATTCGATGGGACAATGAATACATGAAATAAGTGAAAGCCGTCGCAATTTTCATGCTTTCTATAGGACTGCCATATAAACAGTGGGATTGATTATTGCAGTAGTTGCACAAGATGTGCACTGCCGCGTAGTGTTTTATGTTAATACTTTTTCAATAAATGGTCTCAGATGTGTGTAGCGTGAATGTAAAATAGAAATAATTGTGGCAAGATCAGTGTAACGTTTTGTATATATAATAAATCTAAAAAGTCCCGTTGGCAGTGTTAGAAGTAAATCTTACCTTGTGAATCTTTTCTTTGAGGGCTTTTTGAAGACATTTTATTAAAAGAATCCACTCTGGGTGGTCTTCTTGGTTGTGGTGCGGGCTGTCTCCCTCTTGGATTCTGATATTCTGGTCTATCATGATCAGAATTAGGTAAATATCTCCTATCCACACTTGCAAAATGAGGCGGAGCGTTATTTTCCGTCGGTGGCTGGTCCGCGGATAGACTTCCAGTGGTCCTGCTTCTAGAAATATGTCCTTTTGGTCCACTTTCGCCACTGCTGGTGCTATTTAGACTATTATGTCCATAGGAACCGACGCCAGCGCTCATTCCGCTATCCGCAGTGTTTTGATGATAAGATGACGATTCAGAACTGCTTGCGCTGTTAACTCTGTTTAAAAATTGTTCTGGGGCTAGATTGGGGTTCTTAGGGTTAATATACCCCTGTTGTGGTGGATCTGGGTATATTGATTGATGTCCATTCATACCTCCGACGTTGTATTGGTTTTGTGCATTGTTGTGATTTTTTTTCGGTACTTTCGGTTTGACAAAATTTGGGCGTGTTGAGGGTAACGCATTCCCACCGCCATTATATTGATTATTTATCGGGACAAAAGCACTCTGGCCAGGCCGATTGGGTGACATAGCATGCTGTTGCCCATACATTCCAACCTGGAAAATAAAACATAAAATCATTGAGATTAATGCTATATAGTTGAAATGCCATCAAACGTGCGGTGATTTTTACTTACTTGAGAAGCTGATTCCATATTGAGAGATTCCACTGACGATGTACGACTTCTTATTCCGTCAGATGAACCACAATCAGACTCAGAATCATAGGCGTTCATCATGGAAACAGAAGAGACTGAATAATAAGAGAAAACAAGATTTTAATAAGCAATAGTACGTTTTAAGTTTGGATTAATACTTATATAGCGTTGGTCAAATGGATTAACTGGGAATATTATTAAAATTCATCGAAAACTTGATGATTCTATATCGCAGACTTTTCACTTGGTGCTTAGTTAAAAATAGGATGGATGTATACCTCCTTTCGTCACCTGGCCTTCTTCGTAGCGGTATCGGACTACTATATAAATACATTTGAGAAATAGTATATAATTCCATATTTTAAAAAGTCACATGATCAAAACATTACTTACCGGCAACGCTATTTCTGACTTCTTCTGGAAGTGACAAATGATAGTTATTCGCTCTTGCATGGCGAATTCCTCCGACTTCAGACTCGGTTTCTCCTTCTGATGGTCCACCCAGGTATCCTAGATTTGGATCCGTCCTAAACATAAATCAATTGGTCAGATTGAGTGCAAAGATGATATAAAAATGAAGTGAAAAAATTGAAAATATAGTCTTACATTCTGCTGTACTCCACTGCAATACCATCGTTTCTTCGTCTTCCATTATTATTATTGTGTTGTTTAGAGCTCGGGTATGAAAATGCGCCTTGATTGCGTGGTTGTGGTGCCGTGCTACTCATTTGAGAGTGATTGCCGCGAAGATCGGCTGGTCTGAAAAGAGAAAAAAATATTGCAGAAACGACGTTTACACACTTTCCACTGCGAGCCACACTCTGTTACACGGGAAATACTTTAATATGCTTACCTTGGGGGCGATGGAGTCTGCTGGGGGCTGTCAATTCCTGTGTCAGTGTCAGTCGGGACTCTCTCCAGAGGCTGAAAAGTGCGATTTCGTTCTCTAGATCGGCGACCTCTGCTTCCAGAATGATTTGAACCTCTGTCACTATGCTTGCTGCTACCACGACTTCGATTTGTTCTGAAATTAAAAAATATTACATTATTAGAAAAACAATCTACACTTTATGGCCTCTTTCGGTAGGGAGGGAGTCGCTAGAAAGCTATAGCTTATATATAGATTTTTTAAAAGTCCTACGAAGGCCGACATTTTATCCAAAATTTCGCCGTTTTTATTTAAATCTTCTTCTTTAATTAATTTGTTTGTGCTTTTATGCCCTATGAATCTGGAGTAATAAACGAACTAAAAAGCACTCTCACCTTTCACTCAGAGAGGTTTTCAATGACATCGGTGGGCTCGGAGGAGGTGGGGGTAGATCGCTGTCGCGTGTGAAATAAGCCGAATTCGGGTTTTGTTCCAATGGGGTGTTCATATCGATCAAGTTTTCTTGTGGACTGTATTCGTCTGCCAAGACTGTCTGGCTGTCCGATATTTGTCGCTTGTATTGTTGCTGTTGTTGCAATTGTAACTGAAGATCGGCAGTACTCATAATTTGCGTTGGTGCTCTGTTGGGAAAATCGAAAGGACAAACGTGTTAGATGGATTGTTGTATTTGTCTGGGGGTGGAACCTCATTGGATGTCTGGGGGTAAAAGTCCTGGACAAATAATGTTTACGTATTAGTTATCTAATAATTCAAATCCTTGTCAGTCAAGTAGCAAAAAGCACAATACTTTATCTAGAGGATTATGTTTTATCTACTATTCGTCAAGAGAGGATTGAAACAACTCGTAAAACTTCAATTTATACACAGTCATATTTTTCAGCTAGTTAATCTTCGGGAAATCATGTTACAGGATGCCATAAAATGTTAATTACATTTGTGGCAAACCGAAGTCTACCACAAAACGGCGCAAGGGCATGTCGGCGGTGAAACTACAACGGGATTCGGCGAATTTTCGCCGGTAAAAGACATTAAAATCGATTTTGGCGGGACGATTTCGAGCCAAAACTCCTTTTAAACAAGAATTTAGGCCAATCATAAACCACATACGAAAGACAGGGTATTACTATTACAACAATGCATCAGGTGGTAGATGTTTTCCTCGTTCCTTTCCCTAACAATGGCCAATCAGAGGAATGTTAATGACGTAACAATTGAAGTATGTACTTGAACATCGTGAAATAAAAGGAGGCTTTCGAGTTTGTAAACCAGCAAAATCGCCAAATACTCACAATAAACATCAAAATATCTTAATGGTAAAGTATAGAAAGAATTTTGCTGGGTCGAGAAAAAATTGATGACGAAATGCAAACGTACCTATTAGAATTCGGTGAAGAGAATTGAGGTGGTATACTTGACATACTAGTCAGCTGATCAGTGACGTAAGAAAAAGAGCTAGTTTGTCGGGCGACAGGACGAACATCACTCATGTCTGGCGACAAAGAAGTCCCGACATTTCCATTACTGTAAAATTAAATCATATTATTTATATTAGATGTAAGAAGCAATAGTTATATGTTATATGGTATCAATATGAGTGTATATTCAAACACAATACATGAATACGTTTTGTGCCATTCTGAGAAGCTAAATTCTCACTTAGAAAGCTGAACCGATCTTCTGATTCATAAAATCGTTCTCACCTATTATTTAGCGACACTGTTGTATTACGAGCAACAGAGTGCGGCCCTGGCATATTTTGACGTTGAAGATACATATTTCCGTTTCCGGTATTACTTCCGTCAGAGTCAAAATTATTGTTGCTTCCGCCGGGATTTGCAAAGTTGATGGTAAACCCTTTGCTGTATTGTGTATCGCGGAATGGGTCCATTGGTATGCCAGGTCTCCCGCCTGAATAAGAATGTTAGACAATAAGATTTAACATACATTACATATGATTCGTGACGTCATAAACTTGATGACGTGAATTGATGTAGTATTTACAAAGTCGCTTAAAGAGTGATAAGATGATGTCACTCACATGTGCGATGAAATAAAATTGATGGCTAACAAACAGTTAATCGTTTTGAACTGAGATATTGTCTACAAATTATCTTATGGAGTGATAAGATGACGTCACTCAAATGTGTGATGGTATTAATTGATAAGAGGACGTTACTCAAAAATGTAAATGCGGTTTTATCAGAAAATGTATTGGAAAGATGGTGGTTGTCACCACTTGCAAATGACTACAGCTAAATTCTAATTAATGTGCTGTACGTAAGTAAATAGTATAATCATGGATAGAATCAAAATCGTGCAATAGCAAAGAAGAAGTTATTGCAAATCACTATATTGCAATGATTACCTGATTGTGGAGTAAAGCTGAAGGATCGCACTATATGTTTGTTTTGTTGTGAGAGCGATGATGCGTGACGAGCAGAAAAAAAGAAAAATGCAAGCGTTAATTTCAAGCTGATTAGAGCAAAGAAAATAATTTTAACAAGCAGAATGAAGATTCTAGCAAAAAAATTACAAAAAGCAGTTTAAAATACATGCAAACCCGTTTTTCTGATTTTCTTAAACCCATGCAAATTTTTAATTCATAAAATTGCTTTTATTTTCGCAAAAGCTCCAAAATATCGCGGTAATCACCGATTAGAATTACTTTAAAAATCAATGTCAAATTTACTATATCCTCTTTCAAGCATTTGTTTCCACTTACCATGGAGTCCCCGACTTTTTTGGTTTTTCTTGTGTCTTCGATACAGTATTACACCCACCATAATTCCTATAATAAGGAGTACACATGCGCCAATTCCAGCTAATACAGCGGGATTTTTCATTAGAGATGATAACCCGTCTTCCTCTGCGGCTGAACCAGCTGTTAATTAAGAAAGGGGTTAACATGTGATATTGGGAAGTCTAGCATCTAGTTAGTTATGGAGGATCGCCACCTGAACTGGAGAGTAAAATGGCTCGTCTACGCAGAACGGAAAATATTCCAGTGCTGTGGAAAGGTAAAATATGTTATTCAACCATGTTTTAAAGGATTTTTTATTGAAATTACTTTCGTAAGGCGAAGTGGAAATTGTACTATGTCATTCTTACCGCAATGGGATTGCATTAGTTACCTCATTGGCAATAGCTTTTACTAAAGAGCTAAATCATGTTATTTTTGATTCTCGTCCAAGACATTTCCGGATGGAAACATTGCTTCTAATTTATATGACGCAATCAAATCATATTACGTCACATTTCTCGCTATTTTAAAACTTTCATGAGCGAGAGAAAGAATCGATTTCTTGGCGTTAAAAGCTTTAACTTGTATATTCGATGTGGTAGGTCGATCATAAAATATTGATAAACGATGTACGGACGGCCAAACATGATCAGTAATGAGAATGGACACGTTATGTACTCACCATGCTTGATAATACATCGGATAGTTTTTTCTTTTCGAATATTGGTAATTTGTAGAAAATTGAAAACGAAATTAACTCTTGCTATATAGAGCTCAAATTGAAATTTATTCCAACAAAATTTGTGAAATGAATATCAGATTTCCAAGTATGGGCCACAGATACGTCTCATGTTACACCCACACTTGTTCGATGATAAAACTACACAAACCTTCCAGAGAAAATTCCTTCTTTTCACTTGTTCTGCCTTCTCCTAGTAAAGTGGAAAAAGTAATGGTGGCAATATAGTCTCTTCCTTTTGGTAGGTCATCCAAGGTGTATGACGTATCGCTGACGTCACGAATAAAATCATAATCCTTGTTTTTGTCATAGCATCGCAAAGTATAACGTGATATATATTCCGGCAAAATACTGGAAGGTGGCGTCCAACTGAATGAAATGACTGCTGCATTGTCCCCTTCTGACGCTTTAGAGTCGATCTCTAAGATTGGTGCTTCGGGCGTTGTGCCTGCAATTTAACATGAAATTTATTTCCTTAGAATGTGTAGAAAGCAAGGTAGCACGCACTCACTAGTGGAAAGTTGTAAGTCAAATATAACACTGAAATGGTAATAAAATGATGAAGACTTACCTTCTGATTCTGGTGATGCAAGCATAATCGGACTCAAATAACCCATGACCTCAAGTTTAAACGGACGGATCCGTATTTCGTAAACAACTCTTGATTGTAGATTCTTAATTTCGGTATTTCTGTGATAATGATAAAATACAAAAATTAGTTTAGGATCATACTTGATATTTGTATAAAATAGTTATTTTATAGAAAGTTTATACCTGGCATAGCATGATGCTGTTTCTACGATTCGAGCACCATTTCTGACCGATACCGGTTGTAGATAAATTTTAAATCCGTCTATGATGTCACAATTTGCAGATGAATCCCATTCCAAACGTATCCCGCCGCTAGATGTCGATACAGAGAGAGGATTGACTGTCGTCAAACGGACTGAGATTTGAAGAAGTTTTCGCCGTAACTCGCTCATTTCTTTTTCGTCAGCTGTTGTAGGATTTTCACCTGAAATGCAATTTAAATTTGTTGAATGTATTATTAAATAAATCAGAAGCAGCAGTCAATCTAAGGATCTCCTACAAAATTGCCTCAACTGATAAAATTATTATATATAAATATTTCCATACGGTCTATTGCAGAAAATTTTTATCAACTCCTCAATTTTCACTCACTGAATTTCTGCTCACCTCGAGTGTCGATTATCTCTGAGACGTCACTCGGGTCGCTGATTCCATATTGGTTGACGGCCCTCACCAGGAAAACATAACTGGAACCAGAAGTTAAATCTTTGACTGTAAATGTGCTGGAAGTAATCTTTGCACTAATCCGATTCCAGGTTGCTACATCACATTGTTGACTATAAAATAAAATTAAAATATTTTTATCAATGAAATCACCTGATCTTGTGATCAAGAAATAATAATAGTGCTAACAATTTTCCAAAATTTTATTTTTAAATTTCGAAAAAATTAGGATTTTAATGTGTATTTTTAGGTTAATTTTCCCTATTTTTTGCATAATTTGTATAATAATGTATCCTTTTCAAAATAAAATTAATTTCAAGTAAAAATGCACAATGCCTAACTGACTAGCAACAACGCTAAATTTAGCGCATTTTATGAAACCGTGCAACACAGACGATATAATTAATTTCTAGTCTAAAAGTTGTTTTCTATATGTCAACTCAAGTGTCATTCGTTATCAGTAATACACATTCCAATTCTATGGAAAAAAATATTCAAAACCAACTTATGTACAAATGAATTTAATCAGTACGAGGGGTTGACACAAACATTCCAGAAATGCCTAGACTTAGAATGCGTGAGAGCACCAAGTCAGAAAGATCTTGTGACGAGATTGAATTGAGAAAATTAAATTTTTTTTTATTGTTTGAAATTGTCAATAAAAAATAATGGAAAAATGATTAAAATAATTATATTATATTGTCGTTATATAGTATCGAGTAGTGTCTAGAAAGTTTCGCAGTTCGAAATTTTGACCACTGTTCTGTTCTTTCATATCAGCGCCAAGATAAAAGACGATCGTCTGTCGTCATAATAATTTTCACTATGTTCGATACAAAATAGCAACACCAGCGACACGCCAAAAACGGATATTGCTATAAGTGACGACAGCTCAAAAACCATGCGCAAATATTTTACTTTTCGTAATCACGTGATAATTTTCTTCGAGCATGGTCCAAAGATACTGATCGACTTATTCAGTAAGAAAATGGATTCGATTTTACGACGGCGTCGTCTATAAAATCGTAGTCTACAAAAAACTCTGTCGACGTACTACTACTATAATACCACAAAACCATGCGTTCAAATTCTGTTTTCAATATAGAAACGATCGAATATGGGGACATATAAGTTGCGCTTATATGTATGGCCAACGATAATACAAATGTTGGGATGCGTTACGAGGAATTTTGCTATAAAATGTAACAGCAATGCAAAATAAATTTCAGTAGTTTTATAGTGTGCCGTGGTAAACCACAAAATAATGTCATATAATTCCCGCACTTTTTATTCGTTTCTGCAAGTTTTGCATTCCACAAGAAAGTATATAGTGTTCCCTAACACCGTTATTTCAAACAAAGTGTTACCCTTGTCAGAAGTGTGTCTTATAAAGGTAGTCCAATATTTCATATGATGATTCAAACAAAAATTCTGCCACACGGATAAAAAAATTCAATCATTACCATAAGTAAATCAGCGAAAAGCTCAAAACTATTGCCAATTAGTAATTGAAACGAAAATTATAAACTTGTGTGCATGCATTTCCATAAATGGCTCAAGAAACACAATTTTCGGCATCTTTCCTCCTATGGCGAGGAAAAGAATTCTTATATAAATCATTCTGTATAACTTTTAATTTGAATAAACTTCTGAGCATAGCTAAATCGCTGAATGAGAACTTTTCCTGTTAAAATTAGTCACGTGACTTAGAATAGAAGATGACATCAATATATGGCCAAGTATGATCCAAAATCAGTTATTTTTAATAATTTTAATTAACTTTCTGTAGACGTGTGGGTGTTTGTTCACAAAATCGCTAGTATTTGTTGTTTAACCCATACTGGCGCCGCCATGGTTGCTCCAGTGTTGATGAGTACAACAATATTTATCTCTTTGAAATATAAGGGTTAAAATTTTTCGTCGGTGAGTTACGATACCAGCTTAATAAGCGATGAAATTAAAAGCGATATCATGACAGGGGGTAAACGGGAATCTTAATTAGTTTTGTCAACTATTCAAAATGAGTTACGATCTACTTGGAGTAAAAAAACGGTACTCCCGTAGTGTGTGTACCAGGGTAGGGTTAGGTCATAATTTGATTCCAATTTTCCTTATTTTAGTTCTATTACGAGTTCGGGGACTGTCTGTGTTAGCTAAGTGAATATACACCCTGCCTATAGGTTTCAGTCCCTTTACACAATTTGATGTAAAGTAGGCGAACGGTACTCCCGTAGTGTGTGTACCAGGGTAGGGTTAGGTCATAATTTGATTCCAATTTTCCTTATTTTAGTTCTATTACGAGTTCGGGGACTGTCTGTGTTAGCTAAGTGAATATACACCCTGCCTATAGGTTTCAGTCCCTTTACACAATTTGATGTAAAGTAGGCGAACAAACTAAGTTACTTCCATATTGGTACACACACTTCTGTAGCGTAAAAAAACTACTAAAAATGGGCCCAAGGTTCTCGTTACCATTTTCCAAATTCAAAATTGTTCAAAACCAGTCCATTTAAAAGCGTATATCCAACGAAGTAACGTGATTGCAATTTATGAACTTACTCATAACACTTAGTTGAATCAATGTTGTTTTTCAATTATATTTCAAGTTCACTAAAAAAGACAAACTCAAAAACACTTGTTGTACGGCAGTACCCGGTTACAAAAAGCCTTATTCAGAGAAAAATACGCACAAATGTGTTTGGACAAAGAATGTAGATCGGAAATGAAATTGTTGAAATACAGGAATGGAAAGTCGAATGGTATTTCGCTCAAAATTGGCAAAATACTCTTGAACGGCGCGTGAGGCGTCTTCCGTCTCACTCGACGTCAACAAAAATTCAGTCCGGCGTCACGTAACGCAAATATACCATTCGTAAGTAAATTTTGTGGCCATGAATAGGGTAAAATCAAAGTTACATGGGCCACGAATGATTTGAGCCTGAGAAATACGAATTTATGATGGTGCATCATCGGCCGATCATTATCCCAAGTAGCTATGGCATCAATGTTTCAATATGTAATATTAATAGCAGAACAAATAATAAAAGATTGTTACGAGAAAAGAATAAGCATAGAAAGAAGACAAAATGGCGGGCTTAGCGCTAAAACAGCGCATACCCTCGACTGTGGCGCTCTAGCTCAAATCGCGAGAGTACCCGATGGGTTAATATTTTAGCAGTAGAGGGTTAATGATATTATTAACCAACTAGAGCTGAACATCAAATACTCTTGGTATCAAAGTCTCGAAACGGGAGTATTTCATTTCTATGGTTTCATTCCTATCTATCTACTAAAACCTAAAACACGTTCATAGACAAGTCGAGATAACAAGACCAAGGCTGCAGATTTTTTTTCGTGGCGTGAGTTCGGTCGTCTCAGAAGAAAAGGACGAAAATATGATAGGGAGTTAACTATAAATGCATGTATGTCAGCCGGCAAGCTTCAGAAAATGATTTAATTGTCTGTGTTAGATCTTCTAAAGATAAGAGAACATTTTCCCATGACCGGGAGAGCGTATGAAAATCGTGTTACTCGAAAGAATTAGTTATAACACATACGGACCACGCTTGATATTGACTTAAAACTAGCAAATCAATCTCAATGATGAAATAATTTAGCTGTCATTTTTTTCGTTTTGAATACCGCCTGTTTCTTTCGTATATCATAAACTCTTACCAATAATATTCAATCATATATCCGATGAGAGGAGTCGATCCGGTTGCAGTATCTTGCGTCCATTGAAGTGAAATAGAATCAGTTGTCGATCCGGTAACAGTCGGAGCACTTGGTGCTTCTGGCACTTTTGTGGCGTCAAATTTCGACGGTGACACTGTAACACCTTTTTCTGAAAAAAAAAATCAAGTGTGATGTCATAATACCTAACGTCCCTGAACACATGAGCGCCTCAAAATAACGAACTTCATCTTTCTTTGGAAAATAAAATAAAAAGTAATATACTAAATGTATTTTTCGTGTACCCTTGGTGCTAAGGTGACATGCCTTCCCGAGTTATCGTCAAAAACTGACATAATACGGTGACGCGTAGCGCACCATTGAATAGCATAGTGTATCGATTTTCGATATTTATGTCACGTCGTAAGGGGGAAAACACGGGTCCCAAGTGGTGCATATGGCAGATGCCAGACCTTAATGCATAATAATAAGGTCAAAGAGTGCGAATTTTGTTTTCCTATTTTATATTGTTTTGTGGTATTGGTCTATTAAACTTGGGCCGTATATTTGGATTGAATTTTGGTGTGTTTACTATTAATATGCATGCACTTTATTGTTACTGCTGGTTAGAGTCGCCTTATATTGCAAAAAAAGTAAAAATCTGTACCTGCAACGGTTACCCATACGTCCCACTTGCTCCAGCCGAAGTCATTTGTAGCTCTACATGTATATTTTCCGGTATCAGAATTCTGAAAAAAAAATTCCGAATTCAAAAATAACTAAAAAAATTTCTATAGAAACCTGAAAGCTTTTTTTTTATATGAATATTAACCTGTTTTACCTGTGCGCTGATAATTTTCAAGTTCCCGGAAGTTATTGTATATTTACTTCCGGGTTCAATTTTTGACCCTCCTTTCATCCAATCGAATTTTGTAGTTGCAATGGCTGACGTTGTGCAACGTAGATCCACTGGAGATCCATATGCAGCAGTTATATTCTGGGGACCTCGGCGAATAATCGGCGGGTTAATGTCACTTTGGTGAGCTGCGTGGAAATATATATATGGGTAAGTATATGGCCACAATGTTGCAACAATATTTTGAAATTGGCAAGAACGAGAGAAAAAATTTTTTTTTTTTATTCCATTCAGCTTAGAGTTGTTTTAATTCAGTTTTTGCCTTCATGACAGTGGGCTGGCTCCTTTGAGGTAAGTACGTATGACCCTTTTTTGAGCTAAATGCATTTCAATTGTGTATAACATGCTTAGAAAAACTTAATTATGACGCCGAGCGACATGAGTATGACGTCATAATGAATTTACAAGGATCCAACATTTACATAATTCAATCATGACGTCACAATATAATGATTCAATAATGAATTATGACGTCACTCAAAGCACTGTGAGAATATATAACAGACATGAATATTTTATAAATATGCCTACGTCACAATAATCACTGCGGGGCAGTGATAAATGCCTATTTTCAAATAAGATTACGTCACAAATGACGTCACAATTTCCATTGGGATGAAATAACAAAAAATTTGAAAAAGTTACTCACAAACTACAGTAAGTTGGGTATCAGCTGAGACTCGTCCTGATATACTGAGAGCTTGGCATGTATACCGTCCAGTATCGGTAAATTTTGCATTGTAAAGAGTCAGCTCGCCAGCTTCATTCACAGTAACAGAGCCATCTTCACTAACGCTGTCAGCAAATATATTCGCACCTGAAAGTGGAATTTTATTTTGTATATTTTTTGGTATTGCAGTAAAATTATATTTAGTCTATCTGGTGATATTATTATTGATGCAAACATTTTTGTGGTTAAAAAACTGGTAACGTTGTTGTCAAGTGCTACTTTAAACTACTTGACAAATACAATGAAAAGTGATGTTTACGGATTTTTAAAAATAGAATTGTTTTGCGAATGACAAACAACGAAAACCACGTGACCTATGAAGACGACAATTAAGTCATCGAATTTGTAGACGAAAACAATAGATTCTTAGCAAAACCTCAGGATTTTGCATAGAATGTTAGATATATGGAACAAATCATTGGCAAATCGAGCAAACAATATATAGAGTGATGGGAGGTCATATCACAAATCGCACACGGCAAAATTTAGTTTTTAATCAAAAACTGACAATTCGATTGGATTATTTGCTGAAACGTTGCAATTATTACAAGAAAGTTGGCAGCTTATATCCACCATCAATGCTTGTAAAATAGATAGAACAATCTTAAAATGTATCATTTTTGTATGTCCCATGTTTGTTACGATATTAAGTGTGACCATACTAGGTAAGTTTAATTTAATCCACCCAGACTAGAATTATCAATGTGATCATAATAAGCTAAATATTGGCTTCCATTAGATTGAAAAACCGCGACCAGTAACAAGAAGACGTAGCATAAGGCTGAAGTGGTAAAAACAAATCCTAACCCTTTGCCCACATGCTGTAAAAATACGTCTACTGCAAACAAAACCGAACGTAACGAGGGAAAATGCTCGACGAGAAAAATGTAAAATATCAATATTCTTATCTGCGTATTTATATATAGTTTGTACTGAAATGCGACAAGAGGGTTAATCCCACCTTGTTTGGCCGTTATTAAATCCGTTGTCATCTCTAATAAATCTAGTGGTAAATTGCTACGGTATTACGTGATTTTAATCAAGAAATGGATAATTAAATGATAAGCTACTTGTGGGATTAAGCGAACGACAAAGTATTTCACATCGTGGTTTTGGAAATTTGACCCTTGACCCAGTAGGTCATAGGTAATTACAGGGAAATTGAATAAGCGACCACCTTCACCGCATAGATTTAAGTATTTACAGTGTGGAAATTCACATAATTGTGATCACCCACCACTTATATTAATTATTAAACCGAAAAGTTTGGTGAAGTTGGGATTGGTATATGACGTCATAACTATGTGACGTCACTTCACACTTTATGAATCAACAATGGAGGCAGAATAACTTGAAATTTCGAAATTCCAAAATAAGAAAAAAACGATTCAAAATCGCGCCAAATCAAAATCATAAGCCAAATTCAAGTCCAACTTCCGTAAGGTAAGTAATCCCAGGGCTCTGCGATAATATCGATTTCCAAGTTTGAAATACTTTCCCACGCTGGTCGAACATCAACGATGAGGTCCGACTTTAACAATAGCTTCGACTATTTACCGTAAAGTTTAAAAATCAAGCGGTAAACATCTATGAAGTGCAGCATCATATTCGATAAGAACAAGTTGTTAACTGGCTATTTACATAACCTGAATTCATAAACGACAGTTAAATGAAGAGAATATGTGGAAATAACTGAAGGACAAATGCAAAGACAACGAGGAATTTCATTTTGATGACGATGTCAACAAAAATGACGCGATTCATTTGGTGTATTATGACGTCATTATTGATATGAATGTAAAGTGTGGCGTATTATTGGATAATTTTAGCCTCCCAATCTATATACATTTTAAAGATAGTACAATTCTAGAATGGCTGAATATTTAATTCTCAGCCAGTCAACGAGACAGCCAATAAAACGCGCTGCTAAATTCAATTATTTAGTGTAACGCCATGTTTAACGTTTCGGAAAGCACTGTAAGCAAGTCATTAAACATAGCAATAATACTATGTAAAGATCACAAATGGAGCAACGTCATATAAAGTCACCAATGACGCCACTCACCGTCATTTATATGCCACAGTATTGAAGGTTTTGGTTTTCCGGAGGCAGAGCATGTCAGCTTGACGGTGGCACCTACACGCACCGACATAGTTTCTTTTGGAACACGAATGAATTCCGGTTTTGCTGGAAAATCAAAGGAGAATTTGTTAGCATATAACATACGATGTCTGGCTTGATGTAGTGAGTATACGAATCTGCCTGAAAAGGCCATAGAAAAAAGAAAAGTCATACCATACGTTGAATGGTGACAAATTGATCTATCTTACCCACACTCTAAATGCCAAAAAGGTTTTTTGATAAGCTATCAAGTGGCATAAAACATTTGGCAATCGCGACATCGCCAGGCAGGTTTCGTGTAATATTAACCCTAAAATGATTCAAAGCTTTATGAATCTATAAATAACAGACAAACTGAACAGACCCCCTCCAGAGAAATATAGTAAATTGTTTGTTCAGTTCATAATTACTAGCAGGTAGAGGGTTAATACACAGTAGCCTGAGAGCAGAGTTCAGATGCATTAACGACGGATATCTAATTTCAAACGTAAACGAAACATGACCCGTCTATATAAGAACTATCTTTGATACATATTGCAAGAACAAATTTGTTGACCAAGAAGGCGTAAACAAATCAATCATCATTGTCCACTGCTGGTCAACGATACGTATACATAACATGAAACACTGACCAACCAAATGAGGGAGATACTTTATTCCTTTAAAAAATATTCTACATGTAGTTGAACGAATGCCATTATAGATGTATTGAAAATACATCAATATGCCACTACATTTACCGTTTTTGCTACATGACATTGACATACAAAATGGCTTCCAAAAAACCATAAAAACATGTATTTTTCTATGTGGAGTCATATATCGGTAAATGAAAAATACCATACATTTTTCGGCCGGCAATGATATCATATAATGTGAGGATTAGCTTCTAAATCGTTCTAATGTGCCCGAAATAACTTTCTCTTTTACAAAAATCCGTTCTGGCTTAATAACGACACGCAAAATGCCGTTTTTATTAAATTTCATATCGTTTTATTAATATTAGTAATGCCATAGAAGATTGCAGGATTACGGTAACCTCAAAAGTTTTCCCCAAATTGGAATTCTTAACACATAAGGAATGCGGCAATATGATTCTTCATTATAAAAACAAAAATGCCTATCATATGGCTATTCGAAGGAATTTGAATCATGTTTGAAGTGAACTGGACAAAAAATGGACGACAACCTCCAACCAGCGATTGGAATCTGCAATGGTTTGGCTTTCAATGAAGGATGTCCTGGTGTTATTTTTTGAGAGTATTTGCTCACAGCAAGGTAGTGTTAGGTTCACATAGCTAAAATATCAGGAATAAATTTCTCGCACAAAGTCTCGAAAGTACACCGACTTTATATTTTAGCATAAATTACGAATGACAAATTAAAATTATTCTTACTGTGGACTGTAACCGTGGCCGAGACGGATTTTGAAGTACGTTGATTTCCAGCGTTGCAAATATACTTTCCTTCATCCTCAGCTTGAATGTCGGTGATTCGGAGATTTCCATTGCCGAGTAGTTCAAACCTTAAAATTATTTAAAAGGTTGGAGTAACACAATAAAAAGATAAACAATTGTGTGAGATACACTGCTGTATTATTACACTTTCCTTGTATCAAAAAGTTCTTTTTTGATTTCTGTATTTACTAGACGCCGTTGTGTTAAACCAATCTGATGGAACCAGGGATAACCAAAGATCTACTTCGACAGATTTGATGTAGATTCAATTTTTTTTCGACTTGGTGTTCATATTAATAAGCATAAATAGTTTTTTCCAGGTCCAAACTTAAGGGTAAATTGGTTTAAAATTTACGGATTATTTCAAAGCCAATGACTCTTTATGAAATTGCTTCCGAAACGAAAGAAGGAAAACAAAGTACAACAGATTATCTCAATTAAGCATGTCATTAGAAAATATCATACACTCAAAAATGATTGTATAAATACATTCTACTTTTATCGATTTCCTATATTACAGAAATGAATTTTTACCTTGATCCTGATACAATTCCATCAGCTTTGGTCCATCTAATTCTTGGTTTAGTTTCGCCTTCAGGTTTTTCTACCTGACAAGCAAGTTCCACGTCTTGTCCTTCCTTGACCTCAACGTCTTCGGGTGTCACAGTAAATTGTGGAGGTTCTGAATATAATATAATTGTATATTTTATTATTGACTGATGGCGTCATAATAAAGACGTTAACGTCATGAAAATGTTACATATATAAAAACTTGAGAAATTTTAAATATGTCTGGTTTATGTGGTAAGAATAAAAGGAAGCGTTTTTATTACTGCCTGTCAGATTGACAGAAAAGATTTAACCATAAGTAATTTTCCTAAACTTTACAGCCCAATTATTTCTAGTAGGATATCATAGGTCTTCCACTTATTTGCGTAAAGTAATTGGATAACAGAGTTAGCAATTTAGTCGTTATCCCATTACACATTTGAAAATTGTATAATGACGAAATAAACTTTGATATATTCAGTATTATGAAAATCAGACATTCAACCACGCAATACCAATTGCTTTTTGTGAGTATGCCATGGATTAGAAAAGAATAGAATATATATCACTCCTATATTATGACGTAACAATTTATAAAAAATTTGAATTCATTCAAATGAGTTCTAAATAGATTCATTCATCCAAAAGTAACCAGTTACTGATCTGAATATTGCTTTTAGTAAGTATACCAATGAATAGAAAGGAATAGAATATATATCACTCCTATATTATGACGTAACAATTTCTACAAAATTTGAATTCACCAGTCACAATTCAAATGAATTCTCAATAGATTCATTCATTCAAAACTAACAAGTTACCGATCTAAAATGACATCATCGAATGTTTCCAGACGTAATTAAATTTTACATCAGTCCCAAATCATGTTATTTATCCAAATGAATACACAACAGCAAACATCCTAATGCCAAAACGTGGCGACGTCATGATGAGTAACATGGGGCCCATAGGACGAGAATTTAATCAACTAAGCCTTTGAACGATTTCCCAGGTGCTATGAGCCTATTAAGATAAATTTAAATATAATATTATTGCAATAAAATTCGCAATGATTCACCCGTTTGATTTACTATTAAAAATATGTATATTTACTAAAAATTTCAAAATATGTGAAAAGCCAAGTGATATTATTATGCAAAAAATATATGGAAATAGTAAAACATAGATTTTATGTATGGTCGAGTAAGATGGGATATTTTATTCAGAAGAGCAGGCAGTGTAAAACGGCAAAAATAATTCGCCAAGGGTCAATATGCCAATCACGGTAAAAAAGTTTCTGACAGCGACGAGGATTTAATGGAATCTCCCATAATAAATCCTTGTCGCTTGTATTACATTGCTCATCGATTTTATTCTTTATTTGTGTAAATTGACGTTACTTAGCTCTGGGTAATGGATTCTCAAGAGCCTAATTTGAGATAACTAGCATAGCGAATAGCACATATTAATAAGTCAGGAAAATATATATGATTCCCAATAGTTTTATAAAAATCAAGTTACAACACGCCATTACAAACCCCGTAGCGATAAAAATGACGCATATCCCGTTGACTCAATTTTTTGATTCCTATTTTATTGATATTATCTGGGTGTACCTTTTCCAGTCGAGGAAAAAACATTTACAAAAGGCTTAACATGCCTATGACTGAATTGGCAAGTCCCCTGTTAGTTGTGGTATGTGCTATATCTTACCTTGTGTATTTGTTGATTTTTAATGACCAAACACAGCCCAAAGAAAAGTAGTATTAATTCCCGTAACCATGCCTGGTTTGTGAATATTTTTACTGATGAAGGTCCCGCTATTCAATTTCATTAACAAACGTCGTTGCAAAGGTGTACGTGCACAGACGATAGAGTAATCGGGTACATACTTCTATCCCCAATGGGCTCAACCTAATGACACATGAATGAGTTTATAATGAACCAAGTCCAATTGATTTTTCACACCAAGGCTGCCGACTTAAATTTCGAAAACAAATATAGTGTTCCCAATTTTTTTTTTAAATTGCTTGAAATTGTATAAAATCCGAGTGGGATAATATTCCTGAATATCGCCTATTACACAAATTACATTTATTGTGTATTTACAGCATATAACAGAGTTTTTTCGAAAATAAAACAGAAAATGAGAACACATTTTTCAAACGATTTTCAGCAATATTGTCCTACAAACGAAGGCTATAACCCATTACCAGGAAATGAAAAGCACCAAAAGGGATAAAAGCGTTTATGCAGAACAAAAATAAGCAAATCACAAGCGGTGTTTTGGTTATGAGCATGTAACGGGTCATACAAAAACGAAAATACACAATTTAGACGTATATAAACAATCCTATATTCCTAACAGCCAGAACTTTTTCGAAAAAGTATGTAAATCAAATTCAATATCGTACGGTACACATGTAAATTCCCTATCTGTGTGCGTGCGAGGTTGACTAGGTCCCGAACAATGCGTTTGTTTTTACGGCGTAGACGTCTGACGCAAAAATCCGGTTAATATTTTATCTTTTTGTCATATTCGTTTATTCAAAATACAATAGTTACAAGGGATCAAAGAAAGGATAGAGATAAGCTAAAATCACAAGAAAAGGTTTCTTTTATATTTCAAAATTTGATCAAAATCTCACAGAAATGAGAATTTGACTTTAAAAATAATGTGATTCAAAATTACGTCCCAATGACGTTATATTTAGCAAAAAATCCCGACATAGAAGATAAAACCTAAAGAAAGTAGATGCAAAATGCATCAAAAGATCAGATTGTCGTGGTAACAATATGACGTCATCACGTGGATGACATGGTAGACAGACAATAATTTAAGTAAATATTAATGATCATAATTTATGAACATTTTGGCAGAAATAAGATAATGTTACATAGCTAAAGATGCTGTTTTCTACACCGCTATTATAACTTCATAATGCGAGCTGCCTCGCAGACAGACAGACTGAAACGAATGAAGATAAAGTTTCATCTGAGAAGGAATTTCTCCATCAATCTTAGTATGGCGTCTGGTAAATGGGTCGAAATGCAGCTAATTCGATGTTTCCTACACAACTTTCATTGCTTTTGGGTGAAATTCGACACCAAAATAAGACTGCAAACCACAAAGATATTTTTTAGCCGGAATAGTTGTTTCTATATCAGAATATCTTTTCTGTTGACTATACTAGACACAAGACTATTACTGATGGGCATGTTCACCTGTCGGAACAAAATGTCAAACTTTGTCTGAGACGAAATGCAAAATTGCCTTGTTACAATTTTCAAAATATTTTCGTAAGCAGTTAACGATGATAAAAAAAAGTTTATTCAACTTGAATTGTACAGTATTCCATACAATCGGGGTCTTTTCCATATCCCATAGAGTTGGATTTGGACAGTTATCAGATAACAGTGCTTAAGTAGGTCAGTTAAATAAATGAGTATTTTTCATTCATCAATCCAATTTTGTTTTCGTAAAAAAACATATTGTATTCAGTTTTTTAGTAAGGAGGGCTTTTTTTTGAGATTGAGAAATTGACAAAAATGACAAAAATTTGAAAGAACGTAAAAACGCACACGAGACTCACATTTTTCCGCCGAGTACATTTTCATTAGAAACCACAAAGTATTTTCGGAAGAAAGGTTTTTTGTTTCTCAGACCATTTTAATGGCGCAACAGCAAGTTTGATCTAGTATACATCGAGTATATATTGTATCTTTTCAGTTCAAGCCATACATGATAAGGTATAGATTTCTAAAATCGATTTTAATTCTCTGGGTCGTATTCATGGAACGGGTCGCATGAAAAGAAACGCTGAGTGGAGACCTCGTTGTAATCTAGCTTGTACCTAAACACATGAAGTCAAGGGTGACCAATAAAAACAACAAACAACGCGACACCATATGAGGCATAGGACAGAAGTTTAATATTATGTTAAATTAAGTTCAATAAAGGAAAATAATAGCAAAAAAAATCAACTTTCTACCGCTTCCATGCGTCAAAGATAAAAGCGCTATCGCGAATTTGTGACAAATACAAAATTTGAAAAAATAAGAACATTGTACGATAGCAAAATGGTGGTTTGCTTTCACAAAAGATTGTAATCTTAATAAAAAGCAGCTTCAATTTTATCTCAGATTTGCATGAATTTTTCAGTCTCATATTTCTTTTAGAGAAATTACACCATTTCAAATATTTTATTGTGGTTTCCGCCATCGATAACATATGCCATCAATCTCTATTGTCCGCCATAAAAAAAGTAAGAAGAGAAAGAAAAACGCAACAGCTTAACAATAACACCAACCAAACAACGGATTTCGTTCAAGCACTAGACCGGAATTATACCTTTTACGACAAGAAAATTTCATAATCATAACATATAGGTACTCATAAGGCATAACACAAGCGAAGTCTTATCTCTAGCTTGCCTTGGGTGGTCGGAGATCGCGACTTTGTCGATTGGTCAAATTAACCCTGGATAATCCCAAAAATTTTGGGTTTAGGCAAAATTAGAATATATGTTTAGTTTTTTATTTGAACAAATATATGTATTATTCAATTGAAATCGGCTGAACTCTCGAGTTAAAAGCAGTTCACATTTTTATTTTAAAACAATACTGAAAATTTCACTTTTATATTACCAACAAATATAGTTAGCACCGATTCACAGCAAAATTTTGAATCGTGCTGCCTATGTAAGTTTAATGACCAACAATTTGGAACATTAGAAATTTTAAAAATTCATAAATTTAACAAAGAAAATTAAGCAGCGAAGTGTCTGTATCTAAATTTGAAATATTCAACTAATTTCTATGTTTAAAATATTAAAATTAAAAAAATTTTGAATCTCATTTCACGCTTTTTAAATTGTAAACTTTCTAGTTTTTGATATACATGCATGTGTAAGATAATGGAACTTGATATTGACCTTCAAAACGTAAAACAATTTCATAGTTTATATTTTTTTCGTGTTTGATCGTTCTTTATGGGAGAAACTGTTAACCCATTTATCATGATCACTATTAATCTTGTCACAAGATCTCACTTGTTAGTAAAGGGTTATTGTTTTGTTATGTGATATCCATACACAATACAATATCCTAATGCGGGTACCTTTATGCTAAAACGAAGCCAGGTGCGCTATCACGTACTGCGGGGGTGCGGTCGCATGGGAACCGTTTGGTATCATCAAATAAAATGAAATGTTGTACTTGATTATCAGATGTGTATATTTTATGAGGAATTTTCCAATCGCAACGCCTGGCATATTGATATTGTAGTATATGTGTGATTCTCGACCTCGTAGCTGTTTTTCTTTTCATATTGGCTCAAACTGAATTTTCTAGCGCGTAGTGCACAACTATGAAACTATATAGCTTTCGTTTTTTTTATGAAACTGCGTTACTTCTGAATAAGTGCACGACCATGCTTTGGGCGAATTGGCAGAAAAATTTCACATTCTTCCCAACACCTAATTGCTATTCTAACAGCAATGAGTGCGCATTGACCTACTTGTCTTAGTTTTTGTTTGGAAGAAAAAATATAGAAATAAGAATAAACTATAGAAATGGATGCAGAAAATCTTAAAAAAATGTTATCAAAAATATAACCATTTCTGATTGTCATTCAAATATCAATATTGAAAAAGAAGTAATGGGGAAACTCACATTCCAAACAGGACAAATCACTTTTCTTTGATATAAAGAAATCATTCATATCATAAATTCATAATGATAGCTTTCACTTCGATTCGAAATTTGATTCCAATGACATTTTACCTCGATATTTCAAATAATATGTTCGCCATAATCTATATGGTTCTTCTCGTGCGATAGAATAGGGACAGGATTAAGAGACCATATCCTGTCAACTACGAGATGGAATTAGAATATGGCGTTTGTATTATACAACGGTCTTCCTACAATCTAACTATTATACGGCTTGTAAAGGCTATTACGGAACAAATCACCAAATAGTAGTGCCGAGACTTGATATTCTCAAAGGTAATCCATATAAAAAAAAATGGCAGAGTGGCATTTTGTATACCGAGAACCGCATTTTCAGAAGAACCATGTCCATAGAAACCAATACTATCCATTTGTATATAAACATATATGAGGTTGTTACCTCGCTAAATATCGTACATGAAACGCTGTTTGATCTATTTCGCTGCGTTGGTATTATGCGTAAGATCAACGTAACCACATCAGGTCAGCGTGACAAATGTGTTTGTCGTTCGTTTGGTTGAGAAGATAAAATGTTTACGTTACTTATAGTTAATGAAAAATAAAAAAGCTTCTTCTCATCATCGGCCCAAAGTAGATACAAGCCAAATAGGCGCGCTATATACACGTTCTACACATGCTAGTATGATACTATACTAATATCCAAAATTACTGTTGAAGATTTGAAAATGTATTTATGAAAAGTAGAACTGTTTGCCGAAGCTTTAAATCTGCTAGCTAAATGGACTATTTAAAACGCGGTAACCTGAGTTGTCAGTCATAAGAATTAACGAGGCGAGAAATTTTTGCTCCTAAGTGATACCACATAAAAATAAATTATTTGCCACTTTAAAGTGAACAAAGTACAATTTAAGAATTGGTGAAACCAATTTACTGCTGTTTAAATGATAGAATATGCTTTAAACATGTGATGCTACGATACATAGGGTGACTCCAAAAACAGAACAATGTCAATTTAGAATATATTCTGGACAGAAGGTAACTTTTGTGCGTTAGATTAGGTTTTTAGCGTCATAAATTAATGAAACTTTTGGACACAATCATACGCGAACAAACCAAACGTTCATGACTAAATAAATTTTCTTCAATTTCACAGTAAGTAAGTAATTGAGAAATTTATTCAGGTTGACATGTACGTAGAATCTAGATATAACTGGTGTCAAAATACAAATACGCAACTCAAAATCTATGAGACGTGCAAATTGTATGAACCTTATACAAATTTTCAGTCCAAACTCAACGAAACGTGCTAATCGTGCAAACCGTGCATTTAGGTCTGGCTATGGAAAAAGATATCCATTTATACAAAAGCAATCAAAGTAAAAAACTTTACTTACGTAAAACTGTTAATAGTACGACAAGGCTCTCTCTAGTTCCTGCTTGATTCGTTGCGACACATTTGTATTGGCCGTCGTCTGATTTCCTTGTCCCGGTTATGACGAGGTCCCCGTTTTCGATCTGTAAGAATACGGAAAATTTTAAACTTCCTGGTTAGGTCAAAGGTCGTGTTGATCAGAATTTTTTTATGTTTATTAAATTGGTTTTGTTTGTTTGCAAAACTTGTTTACCAATAACACTCCGATATCGATTTTTGTTTGTATATTCGTATTTATGACAACTTAATCCATATTTTTGCTTTCATGATTAAAATCGGACGAAATTATTTGAACGGGTGACAGTAATACAAGAAAATGGCGCCTTTACTGAACATAATTGTCGCGGACAGTCCAGATTATCTCTTTGTAGTTTAGCAGTTTATATTATTACTATTTGTTTAGTTCTGTGTTATAGAAAACTTGGTTAGCAAAAGGTAAACATACAAATATTTTTTTCTGACTTGGAAATGAATGAATTAACCAAAAACAAGCTTAGAATGTAATATTATACATCAGATATAGAATATGTTTTAGAGATTTTTAAGCTATCAATTTTAAACAGTAATGCTCATTATGTATGAGCAGATAAGCCGCGCCCCCTTTTTAGAATTTGTCGAGTATTGCAAAAAAAGTTGAAAATACGTGGATGGAACGTAAATATCACCTTGACGCACCCTCAAAAAATTATCTACGACCCCTTTGCGGGGCGCCCCCCAGCAATGCAAATTGCCTTAATAATAATTTCAATGGACTATTGGAACACACATAGCGGCAAATTAGATTATCCCATAAAAATGCTAGTATTCACTTCCCAGTCAATTTTAAGCGACAATTTCAATTTAGTGCAATTAAAGTGTCGTCATTCAATAATTTAAAACAATTTCCTATGTTGTTACGCGGCTCGATATTTGAAAGTACTGTAGTTTTATTCCGATTAAACCGATTAAAAATCGACGGACGATTACACATTTCAATATAATATCAAAGAATTTGATATAAAATATTAAATTATAGGTTATTAATGTATGACTTCATATTTTCAACGCCACTAAATACGAGGTATATAATTATCTTGAAAATATATAAAAAAAATTTAAAAAATGGTAATTTTGGTCTTTTTCAGGAAATAAAAAACGATTTTTAAAAAAATGATAATAATCAGCGACGACCGTACTCGACAATATTGATCATTAAATATTGTTTCCCACATGGTGTATAGTTTCGTTCATTCTTTTTCATCAAAATACAAATTTGAATTTGAAAAATCAGACATCAATCGAATATAATCAATGTACAAGAACTAAGCAGGTAGTCTGAAAACCAGCTTTTCATCTCAATTCACAAAGATTTCCCTTCAAATAAACTTCATTTCAGAATTCAATCAAACTTGCTATTTTCCTTTTTTTGTAAAAACGAAGCAAAGCAAGTTCCGGGGGAATTCATCACATTGGTTTTAGAAGTAACGTAAACCTTGCGTTTATACTCTTATTTCGGTATTTTGGTTTGCCATATTGACCTGTGAAACGTAGGATGGCCGCCACCCCAATTTGCGGGATTCAAGACATACCGATGCACTATTTTAACTTCAGTTGGAGTGGAATATTATGATAGCTCAAGTTAAAGTATTAAGAGAGTACTCCCTTGCTCAATCAAACGCAGTCCACACATATAGTACGCCTGAAAATATCTTTTATCCATCTCCACGGCTTGGTAGGTCGTCAAAAATAAACAATGCCATAATGGATTAATGGTACGAAATCCGATACAGCTCAAAGAGTTGATCGCACAAAGTGGTTTGAAATCGTTCCCAATGCATTTTCGGATTAGCAGGACTTTGAAAGCAAGATTTTTATTCGAAAGAAAGGCTTAGATGAGATAAACCAAGTAAGCAATATTTTTATCAACAACTTGAGTTAAAACATTGTCACAAGAATAACAATATTTGATTATGATGCAAGTTTGTTTGAGGTATCAATGCATCGTCAAATTCTTTATTCGATTTACAAGTCAATAAATCCAATGTTGCTACTTGCTAAATCTCCCAATCTATGTTTTCTAATATAAGTACTAAGAATGGAATCATCTTGCTGTTTCAAACGGAAATATTATGTATATAAAAGTCTTGTATTTCATAAAATATATGTGTATTAAACATAGGCAACTATTTTCATTTTGAGGCATTTTCACACCCTTAACTTCGTACACGGTACTACATAAACAACAGCTGACTAGGTAGAGAGCTATTATTTTTAAGAAGATTGGGAGAAGATTGGGATCTTATCTTTCCGGCACGGCGGTGCCAAATCAATTTTTAACGCCCTGAATGAGGTGGTGGGCAACCGCCTATACTGCATCGCCGCATAGTTAGTTTCAATGTTCGAACCGATAAGCCATTGGGCCCGTTACCGCTATTTTGATTAGCTGGAAACCTCGATAACGACGATAACGCGTTGTTCAAGGTTCTATTTTGGTTAATATTCCTTTCGCTACAGCCAAATCAGCCATATCGCTGTAGCGATAAAATAATTTATAAAGTTAATGAATTCATTGATTGACGTCTCTGGAACACAGGGACAAAGTATAAACGTCGTATGTTGGAGATTTATCTAATTTTAAATCTTATTTTAAAAATAAAAATGGTTTTCAATTACGGCATTACGGACGTAATAAAATAACAACTTAGTGTGATCAACCGAGCGTTATGTTGACTCAACAAATTACGGGAATCGAAATGACTAAGAGAAGATTTGCATTAAAGTAGTTTAATGTCGAATTTAAAATTCCAAAGTATAAATTAAATATATAATTTATGTGAGAATAAAATCATGGAAATAATATGTTATGTTTTTGTAAATCTAAGCAAATTTTGGTTTTATAGTTGGCAGGTGATAACTAATAAAATACGTCCAAACTATTATTTCTAGAGGTATTTCTGAGCCAAGATTATAGGCTCTTTAATTCTACATTTAAATTTAAACATGGGTTATTCTACAGGCGAATTGAAGTCCTCCACCGCGCCAATGTGTAAACAAAATGAGCAGGTTGAGGCGTAAAGGAAAGATTTCAGTCCGTCAAAGTTTAAAAACTAGCTGTCGGCGTCTATGTGACCCTTCAATTTGCCATGTTAGGAGTATATAAAGAGTAAACGGCTACACAGCAACAGGAAGTTAAAACCCACTCTGACTCTGCCGGTGCCAGTAGGCAGCCATTTGTCATCCTTTTTCCACGTGATTTTCGGTTCGGGTAGACCTTCTGGTCCCTCGCATTTAATAATAGCGTTTTGGCCAACTGTTGATACTTCGTCTGTTGGTATCACTCGAAATTCTTCTTTTATATCTGAACAAGAAGATAATAAATATCAAACTTAGTTTTTATATTAACTTTTACTGATATTCATGGATTCAAGTAAAAAAAAAGCGTAAAGGCAACAAATCTAAAAAGTTTTTATTTTTTTAACGATCAAGAAAATTGAATCAATAGTTCAAAAATGGATGACATTATCTTCATTTCATACTTGATTGGTCATGAGGCATTATCTCGTCACAATCGTACCTATTGACTAAGAATTAAAGACTCGTTCCAATTCCCCAGTGGTCACCACGAGACAGAAAGTCAATACAACTGACCTACGATTGGACTTAATGAGACAGGCCACAATGAAAGATTGCTTGGGTTAAAGCAATTAAAATGACTTGCAAGTATACAGTCCTTCAAATGCAACGATCGTAATTGTTTATCGCCTTCAATCCAAGCCTTAATGATGGAGACCACTGGCGACAAGGCACTCATAAAAAAAACTCGGCGCCCCTTCACGTGGAAGAACTGACTTTGTGATGAGATGAGCGAACAGGGCTTGGGTCTGATTAAGTTCGGTTCGGAAGTTCTCGCGTTCAAGTTTCATATCCATAACCTTACCCAGTAGGTAGGATATGCTGAGCCAAAAGATTACGGTTTCTTTTTAATGTAATATAAATTACTTCATGCATGTATAAGGCATGGCATTTGCGAATGCCTGATAATTTCAGAATCGAATCGAATATTTTTTCGAATCGAAATTCGAATACTTGGGAGATATGTAATTATGTCAAGATTGCATTGAAAAAATATGACTTCAATAACGAAAATTGGGGAAGTTTCACCTTGACCTATGGTGGACAGAAAAAACAAGATGGCGGCGATTCGAAATTTTCGTCTGTACTGATAATTTACTATTCGAATCGACTCGAATATTCGATTCGAAATGACTATTCATGTAGCTTTGTTCAGATGTTGTGAGAAAAAATAACCAGTTTTTCATAATTAATTTTATATCATTCCTCACAGATTCATTGATCGCACCACAATACTACGATTTAGCACGCCTTAAAATTAATCGTATTCTATCGACAGGTGTAGGTGTTAGATTTAATTTAAAAATTAAACATGAGAGACTTTTGAATCGTCTGTTTGATTGCCAGTTGGATTGAAAAGGGCGGGAAACCTGCCATCTCAGAAATTAATCGATGCATTATAGTTTCAACTACGGTTTATGTATAATTTTAAACTTTTAAAAACTTTTTATCTAAGGCCATATATATAGAATAAAACTGACAATTGGCTCACACCCAAAATCTAAAAATAACCGCAATGTTGTAAAGTGATAGCCATTTTAAACTGACCAAAGGGACATTAGGGATAGAAAACTCGCGACAGCTGTCATCTAACCTCTAAGTTGCAGTTTTATCACGCCCTTAACGCGGCCACACGTAAACTTGTTATAAAAGCAAAAATTATTTATATATCAAGCCTGGGAATATAGAAAAAATTCGAGGCCTTTGTTGGAACAACCACGTGATACTATTAACGCGAATCACACAAGCTCAGTGGCAGTTGTGTCAGGTAACAGGTGTAAAAATAATATAGCTGTTTTACTATAGTAAACTAAAGACAGTAAAAACCTATTTTGATTTGACTTCTATTTAAACAAATGCCATCCGTAAAAGAACGAAACACCACGATGGTCAACTAATCCGGTAGCAGACAAAATTTACACCAAATTTCGCTAAGTTTTCAACACAGCAAACCAAATACAATATCAATGGAAAATGTAGATCAAAATTGTTTCCTCCCAAATTGAAGAGTATCTGATACACAAAGAACCCGCAGTTTGCATTATTTTGCACGATGCGAATATTCAATAAATTAATAATGACCTCGCATATAGATAAAACAAATTGCTACAAAGCCGAGGTAAAAGTATTTAATATTTCATGCGATCTATTAGTCCGACGTAAATAAAGAATATGCAAAGACTCTTTTTATTAAAATTTGAAGTGTTATGATATTCAGAACAATCTCGATCAAACATGATTTGTAAATTATGTGCCATATGCTTGAAAAGAACGAAATATTATCAATTTAGCTTGTCATTGTGAACATTTATTATTGAATGAACGGAAGAATACTGTTTTATCGCCTGTCACGAATCCAATGATTCTCTGGCAAGCAAAGCCAATGTTAATGAAATTAGCAACAAATGCTGAACGACCGGCGCCACTTCAATCATCACTTGAAATATTATAGGCATATCGAAATGAATATGAGTAAGAGCCAAAACTCATATTTAATAGATGGTATGTCGCGTCAAGCAAAGTCGTTAAAATAACGTCATCAAAACTATGGTAAATTTACAAATTGCGTTTTCTTGAGACGTCTGTCGAGCGAAAATCTGTTCCAGGGAACTGTGGATACGAAATAGGCAAAAAAATCGCAAATTGGTCGTATATATCTAATTAGGCAACCTATATGGCTTATTACATAAAAGGCGTGACCAATCGATGCGCTCAATAAAGCCACACTTACATGCCTTACAGTTCATGAAGCTGTATTTATCCACGGCACTTGGTAGATTTCCTTGTAGTACAGTAACATAATGACATTTGGCTGCGTTATTGTAATGTTACGGTACAAATTCGAACATGTGGTTATCGCCACCATCAGTTTTAGATTTGACGTTTGCAAATGAGATAAAAGAATGGATTTGTTAACGAAAAAAAGAAAATTAGAAATATAAATTTAAGAACATGTCGACAAGGGAAATCAGGAATTGGCATTGTATATATGGGACATATGTGCAAGTACCTATAGGACAGATAAATGTTGGGCTGTCGATAGTAAAAAGAGGAGTTCCAGACTCTCTTAATTAAGCCGCTTTTTTAAACTTTTTTAAACTTATCTTGATTTTGTCGCGTAATAATTAATTTGAATTATTTAGTTTATGTAGCCAGTTACGGGAATTTTGAACGAAACTAGAGGGAATGGCTCATAAATTGATTGTTTATATATGTGTTATCAAAATTGTCTCGCTAATATTCTGAATGGGAATTTTAATGCTTCCAAAAACAGGTTTCTCCGGGCTTTAAATCTGCGATAGTGGAGCAACGGCGCTAGCTTGAAATCCGGGTGGTTAACCCCGTGACAGCCACTAATTATTTACATCACGAATAATTCTTTATTTAATCTCGATATATATGTGAATTTCGCTTATCTTGCGCAGTTTTTGTTTGTCCACGTTTAAAATGTATATGAAAGGTTGGCCTGGTCAAACGGATGAAGGGTTAATTTCATCCCCATAAGAGTACAACTTCCATTGTATTTCAAGCATCATCAAAAGCTCTCGAACGAAAGTTCCAACATGATCTGAAGCACTCAAGACCATGTCGCGACAATTCCGCTACGATAAATGTGCCCGCAACAAGTAGGCTGGTGGCAAAAGCAACTATAGTTAAGCTTAATACTAACGGCACTCGAGTCCACTCTAACTGTGATATTTACCCAACGACAAATCCGAGACTAAAATCGATATCACACGAAATTTCCAAGACAATATAGCATAGTCTATAATATTTAAACGCCAGTTTCAAGTTTAGTTTACATGAAAGTTTGAACCAAATATAAATGAACAGCGTGCAAATGATTATGACATCACAAAACTCAAATATCTTCTTTATGACATCAAGGACACGTGATGAAGAAAATTTTTAATAGGTAGGAGATTATAATATAAATAGACAAGCATAAAAATGAGAACTCCCTAAAAATTCGCATTCTTATTAACATAATCCATAAAGCACAAATATGAGTGTTCTCGAACATCTCTACCTTGTGGTAGACCAAATTGACGACAAAGCTGATTGAAATATCGAAATTCAGTTAGCGTCTTATTCAAGCCTTATATAGAGCTAAATTGATGGAAAAGAGATACAAAAATAAACGTTTTGTAATAAATTGACATAATCGGACTGCGCAAAACAGCAAGTACAAAGAAGGAACGTTACTTTAACTGCTCGAGTGCAGAAAAATACTTAACTAATACTTGAATACCAAACTATTCTCTTGTATCTGTCCTAAGCGACTTATTGCATTGTTAACTATAATCTTATGACAAGAAAGTATGTTTTTGAACTCTTCCGTTATCACGCTTCAAGTTTCAATTTGCAAGAATAACAATGAAAGGTAACAATGCCTATGTAAGTAGACGACGATCAAATAATGACAAACAGTATTCTAAGCTGAAGATATGTATCATTCTTTGAATAGGATAAGTCGCTTAGTCTATTCGTAATGGAATTTAAATCCGATTTGAATTAGCAAATCCAGTCATTGTCACGCAGTCCATACGTATATTATGTAAAAATTCGTATATCGATGTTAATTTGATAGTAAATCGCAGCGTATCATAGTTTGAAAACTTCGACAGCCTGAGTAAGCCTAAGTAGAGAATCCCACCATTTTCTATAATTTTATTTAGTCAATGGAACATGTTTCCTCATTTACACCGTTTACAGTACGCTGGTGATGCCAAATTTGAATTTGAATGAATGGATAATTTTGAAAATTTTGCCTTCTTATTTTTGTACAAAAACCCCTCATTATGGTTCATACATAATGCATTTTTATATGTTATTTGTATCTTCCTCAAAGTTAATGCAAGTTCGCCAATGAGATAAATAATCCAGCCCTTGATTGAAAAAAATGGTAAAATGTTTTATATTTTAGTACATCCATTAAAATTATTATTTTATCAATGCTTGTGTACATTGCCAAAATCGAAAAATATATATTTCCGTATATATTTGTTTAACAGTACAGACAGACCCAATTTACTGATTCCTAAATATTCAGTAAATGCTCTTTGTCTGGTCTATGAGGCGGATAAGGTTTCGGGCCTATACTTAGGGATGGTAATGGAAAGAGGCGTCGTCATAGCAACTTTGTCATCCATTCGGAACCAGGAATTGGCAAGACTGTGCAAGAAAGAACAACTACGCTAAAGAAGAATTCCAACTTGACTGCAC